GTATCGTTTCATTGGACGTTCGAGATTGAATACTGTTCGTTTTCTTCGTATTTCATCATAGGAAATTGATGTTGAATTCTGGTTGTAGAAAATCTAACGAAGATTGAGACACCTTTTTTTTTTTTATCTATCAATAAGAACCCAGGGGAGAAGCAAGGTGCAAATAGTACATTAACCAGTCTTCGTCTCTAGATAAGGGAAAATTTTAGTACTGTAAGATTTGACCTCAAAGCAGTCATAATAATTATTCCAATCATTAACTCAGAAAGAGTAAAGGGTTAGACTAAAGACTAAGCAGAGATTTGTGCAGGTGGCAACAAACTCTGTCTAAGTCAGACCACATATTGCAGGTCAAAATTAGAATATATGAACTCAGAATTAGAGTATATGAACTCAGCATTAGAGAATATGAACTCTGCATTAGAGAATATGTACTCAACTCGGCAACTCATCACGTTACTTTACAAAGAAGTAGTTTACTGTATCGGCAAAGAGCCTCCAAACGGTTGCAGGTGTTACTGTATGTGGCCATACGGCCGCATATATACCTTCACCAGAGACTCAAGTACTCCTCATATGTGAATATCCTCTTCATTATATATGCAAATTTTAAGACAACTTATTTAATATTTTATCGGAGGTGAAGAATTCAAATTAATTTTGTCTCAGTTTCTCCTAGTTTGTAATTGCTCACATGAACTAAATGAACTAAGAAGGTTATTGTAAAGACAATGTAATTTTATCATATCATTATGTGGGAGAATTGGCTAAATATTGGATTAGAGACTGGTATAGTACAATCATGAATGGAAAATTTGTACTCGTACTGACAAAACATCCATTTCTTTTTCCTGCAACCCCATGAAACAGTAGCAGAAAGAAAAACTTGTAGAAGGATTCCTTTATTTTTCTTTCTAAAAATGTACCTAAAAGATTTAGAAATATAATATTTTAGCTAAGAATGTTTATGTAATATTCAAAGAAATATGAAATTTTTATATAGACAATTGTAAAACTGTTTGTGAAGAATTTATTATCGCTAGAACAAATATTGAACACGAAGTTTTCACTGAAATCCAGCCTTGTGCTATATTAAAAATTTAAAAGGAAAGAAGTAAATGAAGCATCAGATGATATTCGTTTTTTTTTTCTCTAAATGATTTGGATTTCCTATTAGGTGAACACAGTGTAAATCGATATTAAGTATATGAAATTAAAATGACTCTTAATCTCAAAAAAAAAAAAAAAAAAAAAAAAAAAAATTCCCGGAATACTAGTTATCCTTGATATATTGAATATAAATTATGTTTTCCAATTATCAGGATTTCAGTTAATTAAGAAAGAGTCTGTAAATATCGAAGTCATGCGTTTCCTTTATTCTTTAACTCATAATTTTCTCCCATGGTACGTTACATTATTCATAATGCATTTCTATTACAAAGATTGAACCACCAGGTATCTACATTGCAGCCGATACTAGTCGAACTATTTAAACATACATGAGAGTTTGGTTTCAACTTTCTCGAGTTTCAAAAAATTAATAACTGAAATCCTTGGATATTTGAAAACTAAAGTAGGAAAACATTCACCTATTTTCCATTATATGTATTTCATTTGGGTAACCGATTATATCAGTTTCCATCCCACGTGAAGTTAATTTGAGCTTTTCTGACTAAAAAACATACACGTGTTATTTAGAATCAGGCAATTGCCCAATAAATAGTAATTCCTTTCTATAAATATTAATAGGCATATCAATTTTGCCCCAAAATTGTTATAGCAGAAGTTTCTGAGTAAAAACAAAAGTGGATGGTATAAATTTAATATTCACTACCAACATTATCAAAAATGCAAGTTACGAATAATAGATTTTTTCTCTCTTCCTCTCTTATTAATTTGCTGATATATATATATATATATATAATATATATATATATATATATATATATATATATATATATATATATATATATATATATATTTGACAATATCTATATGGTTTGGAGACCAGGTCAGCAAATACAATTTATCATTGAGTCAAATACTGACTGACGTTTTTCATACTAATTGTAAGGCCAATATTTACAGAGTGAATTGTCGTCGGATTTTTCCTTTATTTCCCGATCATGACAAGGAGCACACGGCGGGTGTGACCGGTCAGCAGGGGATGCTTACTCCTCCATGGCACCTGATCCCACCTCTAATATTTTGGAGGTCCGTGTTTGCTCTGCTTCTATTTTGTAATGTTTAATGGACTTTTAAGCTTGAATACTGTTTCGTTATCTTCATAGAGTACAGGCAACGCGGATCCCGTATTTCCCGCGCCCCGTCGCGGTATAAACACAACGCGGGATTTGGCCAGGTGATACAGGTAAACCGCGTTCCCTCCGCGGGAAATTCATCACCTACCTGTCCCCGCCGCGGTTAAATCATCGATTAACTAGTATCGAAAACAAACGGGAGTTATCTCTCCGAACAGGAATTTTGCGAAATTCCCTCTTTTAAAAAAAAAAATTAAAGGTCCGCAGTGTTTGTATATTTATGAAAGTATTTTCTTTTATTTTGCAACAGTGAGGTGAAAATAATGAATATACTCAAAAAAGAAAAAAAAAAAAAAAAAGAATTTGTAAAGCAGGAGATATTTCAAACTTTTATTATTATCATTTATTTATTTTAAAATATATATCAATACAAAAGCGACATCTTTTGTTTTAAATAGTATCAAGATAACTATTTATAAGCTGTGTCATTTGAGAGCTCAACATGACAAATTTTTTAATGTCGGAAATGTAAGTTCTAAAAACTTCTCTTTTATATGCAAACTGCAATAATTTTACATACACGTGCTAAACAATAGTCAGTGCGAGTTCCGATTAACAGTTTTCAGCATTCCTATGAAAAAAAGAACCCACCTATATACTGTTTATGTTTTTGTATTTTTATCAAATTTAGAACAGTATAATTAATTTAATTAATTTCACTTCATTGTATAAATGTGCAAGCATTTCTCTAAAATTGTCGAATGACCGGAATGTTGTAATCTTCGATGGTGAGAGTTTTTTTTTACAGTGAGTGGACGCGTGAACGTTATTATACTACAAGATATCGACAAAATATAACATAATTTTTTTCTTTTCCTCGATATTTACTTCTTTGGTAAACAATATTTTGTTCTTAATTTAATTATTTCTCCAATTACAGAAGATAGGATATGCATGGTGATGAACTCCATAAAACAATTAAAACGGGGGGGGGGGGGGTATATTACTAAAACTTATTATTCCCAATAATACTCAAGAAAAAAAAATCAAATGCCAAGTTCACTTGAACATATTCTGTTTCTTTCTGTATTAAGTATCACTCTCGATCATTTCCTGTGTATAGGGATTAGCAGACCGAGCAGGAAACGGCATGCCCTGAGGGTTTCACACCTGTCCTAGAGTACCTGGGGTAAATTTCTCTGAATGTACAATGCGTTGTCTAGCCATACAACACACCAGTCCCTTTATTGTTTCATTATTTCTTCTTTTTCAAATGAAATTACAACCATGAAAGTTACGCGAGTCAATATATACTTGCTTTTTTTTTACCCTGAGTGTATGTTAAAAGGGGAAAAAAATCAATCATACAAGACTTTTAAAACAAATTAATAGAGTTTGAATAAAATTAAATAAATCAAATCATATTATGTTTTATTACTACTTTCTGTATGTCGAAGGGCTTGGTATTTGTATTTCTGTTTATGTTCATGTATTATGTAAGTAGAATTTTAAAAAAGAAAAAAAAACGTACAAAATGTTACGACACGTGAATCGTTTTCCCTTGAATCAGTTAATGATTTATCGAGTCCATCGATTAAGACAAAATATTCATGATAAAATTTCAATGAAATGAATTGCTTCTGGATTTTTTTTTTCAGTTTCAAAATAGTCGTTTCTGTGAACAGATAACATTTTATTGACCATTTGTGAATTTTGTCTAATTCTACGATCGAGTTTCTGAAAAACATGGAAACAGTAACAACTAATGACATTAGTTTATTATGTTTTGGGATGTCCAAACCTAGTGACACATGATTATTTCTTGAATAACATATACTTTACACTCGAATCATTTGCTTGAAAGATATGATTAAAACAATATTTTACAGTGTAAGTAACAACAGACTTTGAAACACAGGCTCATTATTTTTTTTTTCAGTTTTTGTTTGTTTGTTTAGGGCCATTGAGCAGTGAGGGATCTGTTTCGTGCCAGCACCTACATGTACTGCGACATGGGACCTCGGTTTATACGGTCTCATCCAAAGGACCGGTCTCCACGTCCCACAGTGGGATTCGAAACCGCGACGTAAGGATCAACTCCTTACTCTGCGACTCAAGAGGGAACGCTCTAACCACTGAGCAACGCGGGCGACTTTCAGTTTTTAGTAATCTTACTTCGTATTAAGTTTGCCTTTTGTTTAAGTTAGTACCTTTCTCCTCTTGTTCTCGGCTCACCCTGAGAAACCCAAATGCTCTCATTATTCCAAACACGATCGCCGAAAGCACCAACGTCCATCCAATTATTGCAAACAACCCTATAAACTGCCAGCCCAGCATCTTTGAAAGAAAGCAAATCTATCCTTTCAAACAAGTACTTATACATGTACGTTATAACGAAGATGTTATAAATTGTTATATGTACATGTACATGTCAGATCAAAGAAAAATGATTCCTTTTACCTACCAACGATATATCTTTAAGTTTTCTCAGTATAGTTTTCCCAAAATGAAAAAAATATACACATGAAGAAAAAAAAAACAACTACTATATGGTTTTAAGAGAAAGTAAACTAAAAATTGATTATTCGTATAGCTTTAAACCACTCATCCCATCTTCCTTGCTAAAACTTTCCCTAAAACTTAAAAAGCACTTACCTTGGTTACGAAACAGGTATCAAATCTTATATTTAACCAAATTTCAACTTTGTCGGATATTTAATCTTTCAACTTGTTACATTTTCACGTTGAAAATGAGCTTACGTAAGCAGATTTGAGATCCTGTGCATATAAAATTCCTTTGGAATTGTTAAAGAATGCCACAGCTATAACTCCCCAGCTGCCTCCACCAAAATGCACTAGAAAAGCATTTACGATTTTAAACATGAAAGGTTCAAGAAATCCGTAATGACTACTCTGTGTTGTATGTTAGTAGGTAAACGGGATCAAGATTTTTTTTTACTCTTATTATATTTAAAAGGTTACCGAAGTTTTAGATTATACCTGCCACAGCATCCAGGGGATCATCTACACCAACCTTGACCATCAAAGCTGAGTATGCCATGTATACAATCGCAGAATTGAGCCCGATCACGCATGCGGCATAGGGTTCGTATACATTACATCCAGCACATATGGCAACCTAAAATGAATTCACCTTCAATCGTCGGAAATCGTGCTACTTTGTTTGCAGTAAATTATGATCAAGGTGTCGAACTATATCGACTTATAGAACATGCACACACCAACATCTAGTGTTCTGAATATGGGGTAAAAATATTAACACAGGGATGAATAGAAACCTACATGTACTTTTCCTAAAGTAATAACATTTTTTGTAATATTTACTTGAAATAAGCCACATCAAATTGTGGTTCAAAGGCCAAGATGTTGGTCCCTAGTGACACAAATTTGAGTTCAAATAGTTCTAAAAAAAAGAAAGGCTTCTCCACAATTACACTTTTATGCAACGCAGTCAAATTTTATCGTAAGAACAAGTTTAAAATTATTTAAATAAATTTGCCAGCATTCCCATTTAGTGAAGATTAAAGTTTGTCAGATTAATAACCCATTGGTGTTAAGCAGGGAAGTTTCAAATTTTATTTATGAATATAAAAATATTTCTTTAGAATAGTTTTGCTAGAACGTTCAAATTCATAGCCAATCATACTTATTTAAAGAAAATTAACTTTTTTTTAAATTCAATGCCCTCTGGATAAAAGGTATGAAGATAAGGGCTGAAAATAGCTTAAACTGCACTGCAACATTTCTTAAAAAATGAATATACTTATGTCGTTTAAAAAATTGATTGTAAGAAAGTCATATAATGAGTACAAGACAATTATAGTTCATTATACATAATTAGTAAACAACACTTGTCATAACAATACACTGTACATGTAAGTAATCATTGATTTATGTTTTCTTTTGTTTTTTATGTTTAATACATGAATATTTTTTTAGGATAAGCCCATTCCATGATTCGAGTGGCTCAAGGATTTCTTTAATATAGATGACATGGGTTGCTATTTATATTATCATACCATTCCAGTCAATGAACCGTTGATGGTTATCAATAAACTCCAAGTATTTCCAAACATTTGAAGCCGGTTGATGATGAGTGACGTAAGAGCAGCACATGACCCGGACATAACCGTATTTATTACTACTATTGACATCACATCACCGTCACCAGGGTTACTGATTGACAGTTGGGATCCACCATTAAAGGCCAAAAATCCGAATTAAAGAATGAATCCACCCAAAGCAACCATCTGTTCGAGATAAATGCATAAAATGTAAGTAAAGTTTTCTCTATATAGAGGCGAGACAAAGATTATTTTCAATAAGGTGACTGGACCTTGCAAATCCACGCTTAGAGTTTTTTTGAAACTCATCTGGATCAGAAAAGAAGATCATATCCATGATCACAACATCCGCCATCCATGAGAGATTTGCCCATATGCCTAATAATCAACAATTTTTTGATAAAAATATTCAAACGACAAATAATAATAAAAGTTTTGCAAATAATTAGCATATGTGACGAAGAAGCTCTGCATAGACCTAACTGACCGAAATAAGACCGCTCATTTATATGTTCCCATTGTTAATCATTTTTTGCAATTAATGTACATGTCCGTTACAACGAAACCAGAGTGTAATACGTAGAGGAAGCTCATTTAATACAGCCATTTCGAATTTGGAATATTATACTCATATTAAATTACAGTATTTTTGCTCACAAGTATGAAAGCAAATTCCTCATCTAAAGGAGTCTGTAATGTACATGTATCCTTACTCACCGGTACGGAGTGTCCTCTGATGGGGGCTACAGTTTTGGAGCTGCGATGAAATCGGCCGATTCTGGGACCCAGTATTACAGCCCCCACAAGAGCCGCGGTTCCACCGAGGACATGTACAACTCCGCTACCGGCAAAGTCCTGTAGAATGGAAGTCAGCGTAGTTTGTAAAACACTTGTCCTATAGCATATTGTAATTGCTATAATTCATCTTCTCGGAGGTTAAAACATTTTATAATAAAATATACAGACTAGACCGTCTGCATTTGTAAAATAAATAATTGATAAAATGAATTAAGAAATAGATGAATGAATAAACACATTTAAAAAGATAAATTAATAAATTAGATAAATAGGTAAATATACTTGTACATAGAAAATAATAAATGAGATTATATTATAACTGTTCAAAATATGCATCGATATTTAATTGTAATAAGTAAAACAAAATGGATAAAATAAATGTTTGCATATAATAATGTGTAAGAGTTTTTAATTATCGTGTATCCCCCTACCTCCTCAAATTACCGTGGAGCAACCATTGAAGGTTACCTGATAAGCAACTCTTTCGTTGTCAAGTCTTGAGTATGTATCCCCAATTGTAAGCCATCCCCCAGAGGACCATGCCCAGTGTGTAACGACGGGGTAGATAAAGCCTGCAAACCATTAGAAATAGAAGATGTTACATGTACTTACATGTATAAGAGATGGAACCAGGATTTCTAGATGTGGAAGGGTGCATAGTCAACCCCCCCCCCCTTCTTCAAAATAAAAACCAAAAGAGAATAACTATGTTCACTGTTGTATTAATGATTGTAAGTTTTGTAAATTAATTCCATATCGAAAATGAATTTTTCTTTGGATGGGGAACAAATAGCTGCACTCCTTGAAATATAATTTGAATTTAATGATTTCAATAATTTAATAAAAGAATTCCATATACAAAATGATTTATACAAAAATTATCCCTCCCCCCCCCCCAAAAAAAAAAAAATTAAAGCCTTATTTTTTTGCTTAAACATCGAATTCAAATCATGCAGTCCATTTCTTTTTCAATTTTCCTTTGATTTAGAATAAAAAAGTTAATGTCAGTAAAACGTTTTCAAAATTTTAAACAAAACGAAAAAAAAGTATAAAAGAATTGTGGTAAGGAATTTTATTTGAATCTAAACAATAAAGCAAAAATCCAGGAAATAAACACAAAACAAACAAACAGAACTTAGAGACACTAATAGGTTTCATAAAAAATGCTGGACGAATCCTGTAAATGAGTATTCCGTAATGGATAAAGTTATTCTTCTAAATTTCATACCTGTTATAATTACACTATACACCAAGTATGCCACAAACTCGCATCTCTCCGCTACTGCACCGGAAACAATTGTGGAAGCTGTGGCGGCAAACGTAAACTGAAAGAAAAACATGGCGTATTCGCTGTGTGTAACACCATAGGAAGCAAAATACTTCAGTCCAATAAACTTGTCGGCGGCACCATCACCATAAGCGAAGGCAAATCCGAACAACCAATAAGATATACCAGAGATAACTGTAAAAAGAAGCAAGCATTGGTTATATTACTGTTATTTTGTTGATTAAGTACATTCTAGTGTAAAAATATTGTTTATTTTGACCAATGTAGTACAATTTGCCAAAAGTGCTTTTGTCGTTTACTGGAAATTAAAATAAATACATGTAGTACGTGCACGACTTTATTTATTTTGATTTTTAAAACGTAATTTTGACTTTTGAATTTGAATCACAAGGTTATCGAATACGAATTACTAGTTTTTGCTATGAATACATTTAACAAGTTTTCCAATATGAATACTAACTGTTCGCATATAATTAACAATTTCGCATATAAATCAAGTTAACGAATATGAATAATAATCTTCGAATATGAATCATAAGATTTAGGGTATGAATCACAATTTTTTTTTTAAATATGAATAACAAGTTTGCGAATTTGAATGTTTTAGAATATGAATAACAAATGTTATCAAATACAGCACAAGATTTGTATAATAATGCAACCTCCCATCTTCTTTTTATCAAAGAGGGTGTTGCAGAAACTCGCGATTATTCCCTATATCGAGAAGGACATTTAAATACCCAGAAGAATTATGTCTAAATATAGAAAAAGCTACGTAGATGACTGTGTTTACGGCGGGTATTTCCAGCTTGATATAGCAAAACACTTCACATTTTACGTTTATTTCATGCATAGTTTTTCCTAACGTGGGAACCGATTGGCGACCTTTTAGTGAACTTAACCTTTTTATTTTATTTATTTTTACATGTATGTGTCACTATCGTCGTTTTGTACGAGAAAGGTTTGAACAATAAAAAGCACATCAGGGGCTGACAAATCCCATTGCCCGACGCCCGGGGGTGGGCAAGTGAAATTTTATCAACCACTTGCCCGTGGGCAAGTGACTGAAAAAAATTAAATAAAAAAATTAAATCCACGTGTAAGTCATAAAAAGAAAGCTAGGCACAGAGACTTGCATGATCTACTCAGTATTTGTCTTCCAATTTTATGAAATATATATAAATATTTACAGTATTAGTTTATGGTCATAATGGTGGGGCAAGCAAAAATTCACGTAGGGCAAGTGAATTTTGACCATGCTCTTGCCCTTGGACAAGTGCCTAAAAAATCTATTTGTCAGCCCCTGCACATGTAATGGCCAGTGCACCTTGCACAGTATTTTAGATATACGATAGACAACGTCCGTGAATATTTTTTAAATAAATAAAACTGTGTCCCATAATCACACTGTTTATGCTACATCCAAGACATTCCATTTGTTTCAAATCAAATCTTGGCCACTAAATAACAGACCAAAAATGAATCAAAATGAGTAAACTATGTAAAAAATAAATTATTTAAAACAATACTTTATTTTCCAAGACATCGCCTTTCAACTAAAAAATAGCATTATGTCATTAGTTTTAGGTCACAGTATCAAGGAAGACAATTTAAATCTGCATGCTTTTAAAGTATTACTCATTAATTTCTTGACATTCTCTCTCTCTCTCAGTCTCTCTCTTTCCCTCGCTCTCTTAAAATAGATATTTTATTGCACTTCCATATATTTAAAAAAAAAAGTGAAGGAAAAAATGCAAAAACGACCCGTTCCAGGATTCGAACCCATTCTGAGGTAAAATAATCCGCTAGGAGTCCACCAGCATAACTACTAGACCATTTCAGACACTATTTATCCGTTCGTTATTTTATGTACACATTTTGCATTTCGTATGGATGATAATTTTTATTCAATTTTTGTGTTTTTCATAAATATGCCTCTTTGAAACAAAAATCGGAAATGGCAGTTTTGAAGAAAATTCCTGTCTCTTTGTGCATATATCAAAATTATTCTGTTTCAAAAAGGCAATTTTTCAGAACAACGGGGAATCCCTATTTAAAAAAACAGAAAATCTGATATATTTTGCTGTGTGACTAATTTACACTTCATTTAATGGCAAATTGGAAGTCAATATGCAGTTTCCAAATATTTTTCTACATAATATTGTTCTGTATATACCGTTGTATCTGAAAAAAAATTAACATCGTTTTCAGTAACTTAAAATTCTTCTTTTCATCTGCTACACATTTAGGGAAAATAACAAAAGAACTGCAACACCCTCTTTACCTTGTATCAATAATTTTTTTATTTATATATTTACATATATAATTATGATATTTATAAAATACGTTAATAATTCTACATTTGGAAACAACACGGCAGCCATAAAGATGCAGTAATTCAGAAAAGTGGTAAAAACAAATGATGAAAGAAGATCAGGTGCTTACCTGTTTAAATCATTAATAAAGGACGGATTAGAGTTATATTTTGTTAGAATTGTCTTTATAAATAAGATTTGTTCAAAATAATTGCAAAATTAAATTATGACAAATTAATACTAACAAGGCAAAACTTGCAAATAATCTATTGAAATTAAAAAAATTATTCTGCCTTGCAAATAAAATTTCGTTTTCGAATTAGATGTTCCGAACAAAAACTTTTTGGATTATAAACCCAAGAAATCATATCATATGCCATGAAAAGACAAGGAAATATACGAAATGTTAAATTCTCTTTATCCTCTAGCTATTGCTGTTCCTCAGCGAAAGGAGTAAAAAACTACATGTCTTGTTACTTATGTAAATCAAATACATTTCCCTATTACCTCCATGAATCCATTTTACTTTTGTTGAAAATGTCCTGTAAATTACATGAATCCATTATATGCTCCAGTAATTACAAAAGTGAAATACATTCCTCTGTTACTTATATAAATCTATTATACTCTTGATGAGAATGTCAAGTGACTTGCATAGATCCATTACATTCTCCTGTAATTTACACAAATCCATAACAATCTTGCTAAATATGCCCTGTATTATATTTAAGAGATGAATTTCACTTTTGAGAATTCATGTGGACATGAACTACAACGCTTCACGCCTGCACATTTCATGAAGCACGTTAGCGCTTCATGATAAATATGCAGGCGCGGGGCGTTGAAGTTCATGAACCTCATAAATTCTCAAAAATTAAATTCATCTCTTATATTGACTTTTTTTTTTTTTTGCCGATGACTTGCCATATATTTTTGTCATGCAACGATCTATTATTTTTTTTTTTTAAAAAAAGAAAGAAATTTGCACTATTTTTTGACTTCAATCACATCACAATGGAAATATTCATCCCACGGTAGTTCATGAGAAGATGAACTTTTTCTAATTTGCAAAGAATCTTAAGGAAAAATATTTGGAAATGTAAATATATACATGTACATGTAAATACATTACATTCTCCTATACTTTATACAAATTCTCCTGTGACTTAGACTTACAGAAATCCATTACATTCTTGATAAGAATATTTGTAGTATTTTTGCTTCTGACTGCACCGGCTTCTAAGAAGGCAAACCCGCACTGTATAACTAAAAAAAAAATTAGAATGGATTATTTGTCTGGGACAATATCTTAAAATGGATATTTTTATGCTTTGTGGAAATGTCCAAATATGCCGTTTTGTGTCCTAGATTCGTTTGTATTTTTTAAGTTTTTCCTCGAAATTTACAAGGTATAGGCCTATGACGTTAAAACTGGAATTCATTCATATGAAAACTGATAATTTTTTGGTTTGAAGCATCATTAGAATCAGCACTGGCCTTGTATAATTTTCACAAACCACAACTGCTACAGTGTCTGCTCATCATCAGCAAGCAGATACGATGAAAGCCGTACAACCATGATTTTATAATTCTTAACTGTAATATACACAATCATAAAAGCTTTAATTACAACTATAATCAATTAATTAAAATTTATACAATCATGAGAGAGAATGCAGTTTCTTTGCATATCTTATAATACATGGGATAAATATATCCACAATGTATTTCGCTGTTGAAAATGTAATAAAATATTGTAAAGTAACGTGTTTGTACAAGCATGAACTATAAATGTATTAACTCGACCAGTGATCCTGCACAATAGGACAAAATCACGTATGAAACATTTTCCAATTGGAAGTATTGAGTCTACTTTCAAGCACTGGAGCGTGAATCTCGATATTAGTTTAATGAATTAAAAAATCTTTTGAGTTAAACTGAGTATTATTTTTTTTATTTGTAGAGATTTTTCAGGATATTGTAAAATTTGTTGACATAAGAGACTTACATGTATAAATTCATAGCAAGGTATATATATAAATCGCAAGGGTTTTCAGTGTGTGTCGATTGCCTCATAACGAATGATTAAATAAATTATGTAAAAAAAAAAAATACTTACAAACAACACACATTCCCATAATGATTAAAAACAAATGATCCATATTGTCCTTAAATGTTGATGCTTCTACAATAAGTTCAGAAAGATTCCCTGCCATTTTTCTTCTCTATTTGTTTCTCATCCATATATTATCTAATGGTTTGGTCATAGTCATGGGCTGTTGCTCTCTGACCAATCGCCAGGAGGCCAAGTTTCGATAAGAGATGTCAAATGTACTGTCAACGAACGGGACCTTTTCTTTGTGAAAGTAAATCAAATGTTCTATGACTGTGTCTAAAAGGTAAATAAATAAAAATGATGAAATGGACGAAAAATAAAATAAAAAACATTTGACAGAATTGATAGAACTTCTAACACTTAGGCATAATTACATAGAAACAGCAGTATCGTTAAAATGCATTGAACATCGCTTACTGGGACTATGAGATAATCAGATTTATCCCTTAAAGATACAGTTATTGAGAATGACGCTTATCACTTTCTATTTGGAAATTCACTAATTCCTACCAAGTGCAACCTATTTTTCGGAATTATGCGTCCTATCATGACGATTCTATTGTTAATAATGACTGAGCATTAATGAGCATGCGCTCGGCCCTTTCAGTTTCTTACCTTGTTCAGAGCAGACGAAATCCCCTCCCTCCCTTCCCTCCCTTAAATATTATGGTTGGTTTGAGTATTTTATTTGTTTAATAAATTCTTCTTGATTCTTTTTCTGCTGTGTGTTTTCTTTGAATTTCAGAAATCGTTCATGGCATATACACTGATGAAGAATACTATGGACTTTGCTGTGTGAATGTGATAATCCTGACTGTTTTGTGTTAGCGCAATTTTGACAAGTAACCATTTGCTGAGGGATACTGTTGTCTCCAGGTCCCCCAGCTCTGATATGGTTTGTTTAATATTTGAGAATTCTATGCTACCAAAAGCTTACAAATGGTAAGATCGGCGCATGCGGCATGAACTAGCGAGTGCCGTGTTAAACTGTGAATCCAATTTAAATTTTGACCTTCTTTAACGCATTTTTACGTATTGTAGTTGATGAGTTCCAATTTTTAACGATTCTATGGCTCTTGTGACATTATTTTTTATCAACCCTCGCACAGTACATCAGTCATATTACATAGTATATACATCATTGGCTTTTAATTATTTTTTCTGTTTCTCTCGACTTTTCATATTTTTCAGGATTTAGGCCTTTGAGGGCTTACAAAGCTGCCAAAAATTTATCTTTGGCACTTTTTTCCAGCTACGAGGCAGGCGAGACAAATCGCTTTATCGAGTTACATGACTCCATGCTTGTTGAAACTCCGACTAGCTCCCAAATTAAAGCAGGAATGGGGTTCTAGGCCAAAACATTTTGAATTAAAAAAAGCAACATCCGATACTAAAGAGTTTAAACACTCCTATGCTGCTTCAATTCAAAATTCTACTTTATAGTGTACAAAATATAGAAAACATTTACAAACCATTTCCCCTTTTCGGATGAATTAAAAAAATAATGACCGACAAATTGAATATTTTTGAAAAAATTCAACTTGTCATATAACATATTTTTCAATTATAACATCATATTGTATAATTTTTATACATTCTTGTGAAAATTGCCGAAGTTAGAATAAAATTTACAAATGCATAAAAAAAAAGTTTCAGAATTTTTATTTTTAGAACTTCATTTGAAACAAGATGTGTTTGTGAATCACTGATGCCCCCGTGTGGCAACTTACAGCGAAGGTTAAACTTTTTCAAATGAATTTTTCCATAGGTAGGTCAAACTCCAAGGTCAAGGTCATATTTGTCTTTTATCAAACATTGTTTAAAAAATTGAACACAAATCTCATTCTAATTTTGTAAAGCAGTTCGTTGTTGATATATTTATCATTTACGGAAAGTTTTTATATTTTCTTGACTTCAAAATATGCTTATTTACTTAATTACTATCTGACTACTTATTTGTACTATTAAACAGAAAAGCTTTAGGCATTAATATGGATAATTAAGCTGGATCCATATTGCATAGGAAAAATTAAGGAAAGGCAATGATGAAAGATTTAATAATCATCAGAAGTTTACATTTTGTAAATTACATGTATTTAATGGTAATTGGTATAAAAATATGATACATGAATACGTGATATTCTTTGGGTTTGTGATATGAACTTTCAAGGCAGAGACTACATTTTTGGACATTTTTGATCATTACAGTCATGAACATATACATACATACACACACAAAGGAAAACATTAACATGTAAGCTAAATAGTGTTATATAATAATCACAACAAACAGGTTTTTTTTTTTACAAATACAATGCTCAAATGGACAATTACATTTGGAAGGAAGGGGTGTTTGTTTTACAAATGGCACCGTGACACTAACCCTCTTGGTCACCGGAATATATGTATAGTTTAACTTCAGTTTTATCAACGCATTGAATGTGGGAACATAAGCTTGCGTAAACCTCAATAAATTAAGAGAAGTTTGTGATGGGACCTTCAAAGCTTGGTGTCGTTGACAGTGACGCGTACTTCGCTATGAGGTGCCGTGACGCGTACTCCATTGGCGGGAGTTTTGAGGTGCACTTCTCTTGATGGAACCACCTTTTCGGAAGACCCATTACGTAGAACGTTTTGTGTCTCCGGATTCTCGTATTGTCCTTTATCTGTAATTTCTTTTTCATAAGCCACATTTGTGAATCCTGTAATTTATTCATAACAAAAAAAAATTTACAAGGAATCAAACTGACATATTAGGCATTACATATATAATACATATCTATATTACTTTTATTTCAATGTTTAATTCCTCAATATATGCACATGGTAATATTGCTTTACACATGTTATAATACTGCTTTATGATTTTATCGGATTACCCTGTGTGACGACCGTGGGGTTATTCTCCAGTATCTGGATCAGGCGTTCAATATGGCCGTGCCCGTACGCCTCCACAGGATAGGCGGGTTCATTGTGTTTTGGGATGTCCAAACCTAAAGATATAGTAAGAATTACTCCTAAATTGTCGTTTATGAAATTTCTATAAGCAATATTACTTGAATTATTTCAAATAGGAATATTGCAAAGAAGCTTTATAATTTTGAAGAAGCGAAACAGGCATATTTTTAATAGTCCTTCTTGTTCATGCGGAAAACGCGAAGATGTGTACCATTTCTTTTTTGCATGCAAAAATTATTCCAATGCTAGAAATACTCTTTTCAATCGCTTGTTCATGCTTGAATTGGTCACTATTGATTTAAACCTATTACTATATGGTGATGAAAATTTGCCTTTACAGATAAATAACAGTATTTTTGCTGCTATTCATAAATTTATTGATGAAACATGTAGATTTTCTTAGTTGATATGTTAAATTTTATTTGTCTCATTTGTATTATTTTTCTTTAATTTGCATGACATACCGTATTATATAAGGAGAGGAACTAGTAAGTTATTTTAGAACTTGTTTCCAATCCTTTTGATTTAATCAATAAAATATGTTCAAAACAAAAACAAAGCATATTTTGCAGCTTTTCGTATACTTTAAATTGAAAAACTAGCTTAACGTTTGTCCGTTGTTTGGAAGAATACAGCGCTGCTCAGTAAAATAAAATTTTATGTACAATTCATTTACCTTTTTCTTCCTCTTCTCGACTCACCCGGAGAAATCCAAGTGCTTTCATAATTCCAAACACAATCCCCGAAAGCACCAATGTCCAACCTGCTATGGCAAACAACCCTATAAACTGCCAGCCCAGTTTCTTTGGAAAAAGCAAATGAAAACCAATATAACTATGAGTACCCCGATAATGTTGAAGATCAAGCACATTGTCACAAGTTTTAAGGAAAACGATTCCTTGTACGGGTCAACAATAAAGCTTTGAAGTTTTCTCAACATCGAAAGGATGTCATAATCAGATAATAAATTCCGACTCAAAATTTTCCGAAACGAAAACAAATATATAAAAGCAAAGAAAAACAACAAAATGGTTTTCATATACAGTGAACTAAAAATTCGAGGTGCTTCATATCTTCTCTGCTGTATCCTCCCTTAAACATAAAAGTCACCTACTTTGATTATTAAACTGTTTTTGATATTTTATCAAATTTCTAATAGTTATATTTGACATGTTACAGTGGTGTATGTATGAGCTTACGTAAGCAGATTTGAGATCCCGCGCATAGAAAATTCCGTTGGAATTGTCAAAGAACGCCACCGCTATAACTCCCCAGCTGCCTCCGCCAAAATGCACTAGAAAAACATTTTAATCATTAAAATTGACAAATGAGAGAAGTGTGTAATAAATAAGGTGCCTGTAATGTTATAAGCAAAATGATCAACTATTTTAATTCTCATATTTAAAACGTTATCAGACTTTGGAAATACGTAGTTGATAGAAGAAAATACCTGCTACAGCATCCAGGGGATCATCCACACCGATCTTGAGCAAGATAACGGAGTAGGTCCTGTATACAATCGCAGAAATGAGTCCGATCACGCATGAGGCATAAGGTTCATACACGTTACAACCAGCACATATGGCTACCTAAAACGAATTTACACAAAATGACAAAGTCATTTTGACAAAGGTATGGTTGATGAATGGTGCTTAGAGCTTGAAAAATAATTCTTGAAGAACACACCTACATTTGTCAAACTAAAAAGTACATGTTGCCCGACAAAAACTGGGGTGGGGAATGGTTGACGTGCTCCAGTGATTTTTGCCAGTAAACAGAAAACCAGTGCTAATTTAAATTAACAGTTGAGCCCCCAAAACAATGATGTCTGTTGACCTTTTTTTTCCCTTGTTAAGAAATTGGATTGCGTCCACCTCCCAGTGAAATTCTACCTATGTGTCCGACATGTACGGATGTGTGTTTTCTTTTATATTTGGAGAAGATGTTGCATTAATTGTTCAAATGTACATTATTTTTATTTTGTGGGCGTGGACCCACCACCCCAATCCCCTTGGAAAAATTTCCTGGATCCGCTGCATCTTCCTGCTCTTCTATTTTTAACATGTGAAACAATATCATACATTCTTGTGTTGTTTGCTTGTACTTATTATTTCTACTTTATAACAAATATACGTACCATTCCAGTCAAAGCACCATTGATGGTTATCAATAAACTCCAAGTATTTCCAAAAATATGCAGCCGGTTGAGAATGAGTGACATGACAGCAGCACATGATCCCGAAATGACCGTATTTACTACTGCTATGGATACGGCGGCTCCGTCACCAGGGTTACTGATTGACAGTTGGGATCCGCCATTAAAGGCCAAAAAACCAAAGAAAAGAATGAATCCACCTAAAGCAGCAATCTGTTCAAGATAAATTCATAAAGTTTAAGCAAAGATTTCAGTACGACGAGTGTTATACGAAGCAAGGCAAATTTCACAGCTTACAGATCTTTCACTACATGTAACTAAAGATGATCTAATCTAGGCCTAGGTGCCTTTTATGAAAAGAGTCGATAATCTCATGCATTATAAATGAATGCACCATACTAAATGGGTAAGATTTTTCGGTCATTATAAATATAGGAATATTTCACAAAAATTACCCGCTCACCCACCCCTACCCTTTCCCATGAAGCAGTGATTAAAGCATTTCTTTCTAGAGTCGCAGGGTAAAGAGTTGATCCTTACGTCACGGGTTCGAATCCCGCTGTGCATGCGGGATGTGGAGACTGGTCCTTCAGAGTAGACCGTATAAACCAAGGTACCGTGTCACAGTATATAGGTGCTGACACAATAAAAGATTGTTATTGATAATTTTGACAAATAGTTTCTGACCAATCTTTTTTTCAAAAGCTGACAAGTGGCCTTAAATAACTTTTAATTACCCAGTATTTTTGCCCACTGGTATGAAAACTAAAAAAACATGGCCTAATCCTGAGGCAGCAATAGTTATATTTGTTTTTATTACTAACCGGTACGGAGTGACCTCTGATTGGGGCTACAGTTTTGGAGCTGCGGTGAAATCGGCCGATTCTGGGACCCAGCATTACAGCCCCCACAAGAGCCGCGATTCCACCGAGGACATGTACAACTCCGCTACCGGCAAAGTCCTGTAGAGAAGACATTAGCATTAGTTTGTAAAATACATGTATTAGTATAATAGTATTTATTATGTAAGTTGTAATTTATATAAAATTTTATAAGCTTAAAACATTTTATCTGAGATTGATATAAAATATAGAAACTGGACACCACTAAATAAATAAAGCATGTAGAAAAATAGTGTATAGATCTAAAATAACCCTTTAAATGTACATGTTTGTCATATGCATTGATTCTGTAATGATATATTAATTAATGTAAGTCAAAATACTATTAATAGTAAATGAATAAATATTAAACATTACTTTGTTTGCATTGAATATTTTTTATTATTGTTTATCCCCCCTCACTTTCCCCCCTGTTATTAAGGGTCATCAACTTAAGAAATGCTCTTATTGGAACAATTAGTTACCAGAATAATTCACATTTACCTGATAAGCAACACTTTCGTTGTTAAGTCCTGAGTATGTATCCCCAATAGTCAGCCAGCCTCCTGAGGACCATGCCCAGTGTGTAACGACGGGGTAAATGAAACCTGCAAACCAAAATAAATATTTTAGTTAGGTAGAAGATGCTACCACCAGCATGTAAGGCATTCTGGTTGTGAGAAGGAGAAAGTTTAAACATCCCCCCCACCCCCGACACCAAAAGAATAACTTCGTTAGCTCTCCGTTATGGATTGTTTTCCTTCATAATTAGCTACAGTCTCATGCAGTTATTTTTTTTATCATAAGAAAAGAGGACTCTAAGATATCATTCTTTCTATCATCATCTTTTTCTTTTTGAGGAGAATGGAGGGCCATTTTCAGAATGTATGCGCTAAATGCACCATTAATCTCTTGAAATTTTTGAATATTTAGCCATTCCAAGTTTTCTTCTATGTTTAGTGTTCACCATCGTCTCAAGCCACGGTTTGGAGTCCGCATATAGCTCTCTCCTACCAGAATGGGAGAGGATCGTACATTTTGGCCGCAGTTTGCGACGATGAGCGTCCGCAGACGCATTGGTTTTGAGGTTCTAAATATTAAAAAACACATACGAAAAGTGAACAAATACAAATATTTGCAGCACAAATTACTCTCTTGATATCGGCATCGCAATTTTTCAAAGTTGTGTAACGTTACCAAAATAAATTAATTTTAATAAACTAGTAGTTTATCTTTGTTACAATGAGAGGAAGATTCTCAGATAATGATGAGAAATTCTACAATTATTCTTATAATGTTGTGTTTTCCCTTTCGGTTTGTGAATTTTTCCCGGATAGAAAGATAGGTTTTTGATTTTAGGATGGACGCTAAACACAGAAAAATCTTGGGATGGCCTTATGTTAGGGACGCATGGTTTTGCTACTCTAGACGAGTTATCTTTCTTTGTGTAGTAGTTTATGTTAACTGAGAATCCCTAAATGGATAGACGAGTTATCTTTCTTTGTGTAATAGTTTATGTTGATTAACTGAGAATCCTTAAATGAATAATATTATTGTAACTGTAATCTGATACCTGTTATAAATACACTGTATACGAAGTATGCCACAAACTCGCATCTCTCCGCTACTGCACCGGAAACAATTGTAGAGGCTGTGGCGGCAAACGTAAACTGAAAGAAAAACAGGGCGTATTTGCTGTGTGGAACATCAGAAGAAGCAAAATACTTCAGTCCAATAAACTTGTCGGCGACACCATCACCAAAAGCGAAGGCAAATCCAAACAACCAATAGGACACCCCAGAGATGACTGTAAAAGAAGCGAACAATTGATTTCATTAAATACACGTGAAAGTAAAATTATAATCTGTATTTCAACCAGTATGTGATTATACACTTTACTGATTTTTATTTGAAAATTAGAATAAACTGAAGTACACAACTATACTTATTTTAAAGCTATATATGGCGTATCTGAGCTAAAAATTAAAAATAAGAGATTAAGTGCAGATCAACATGATATTTGTTATTTACGTTCAAATTAAAATTTTCACCGATTTTGAACTTGAATATCCCCACGTTTCTATAGTTAAGGGTTTGGTTTTGTGTTCATCCAAGTGAAACTCGTATGAAATAAAAATCTCAATATCTTGATAAATACTTCTTGCTTACTCTTGAAAACTGACCTATGACACCTTCCATGGGAAAGCTGTCTTGACATGTATGCAGTTTGGTTGTCACTTGCAGTGTCTTGCAGCAATAATGTGCATATTACACTTGCAGGACTGCACAGCTACAGGTCTAACAAAACAATAACATGACATTTGTTGTATATGTGCAGATAGTTGAACGTCATGGGTACAACTATTTGTTACGTTCCTAACAATTCTGTGCGTACTTTTTCCATAACTGTCTGTTTTTCATCAACTAGGCATGTCCGCCATGCGAAATCTGGGGGCTGCCATTCCGGTATTGAAACCAACTATTTCTGTAATCTGATGTCTCTAGTACCTCGATTACACAAAGCAATTAGAGAGATATTTCGTAAAAAATCTCCAGCTATTAGAATGTTTCGATCTAAATGTTTAATATTGTTTATTATAAAAGTAACATCGATGTTTACGTCATATCAGGGAATGCTCCGTCTTCGATTTTACAATGGACAGATAAATTAATACGCGCTCAGTTTTAGCAGTTCCGACTGAATTTAACGTCTGTTATTTCTTTTGCAGGTAAGGCTATTAATTACCTTTTATCAAATAAGCATATTAATCCTACAAATGTAGGACAATGTCATATAATATTGAAAATTATTGCACGAAAATTAAGAACTATAATCACTCAGCGTAGTTTATTTCTGAGGTCTGTCATGCTATATTCGGCTAAAGTGAAAGTAGGAGCTGGTAAGTCGGTTTGTTGTGTTTATTGTGATTTATAAGCCTTATCTCAGAAATACGATATAACTCCTAGTATCAGTAATACATTTTGAGTATGACAACGCCTGCGATCTGATGCACATCAATTTTAAAAAGGTTAAACGTTATACAAAGGATCTGAGAATTTCCACGTGTTTCTTGCAGACCACAATTTGGTAGCGGGCAATATTTAAGGTTCCTCTAATAAATGTGACTATGTTTCAAAATACTAAAAGTATTCGTCATTGTATAAAAATATAGTTCAGTCAAAAACAGGGTTTCAAATATTATGAGTAGAGTAAAGAACTAAATTTTGTTTTCACTAATGAGCGATTTTTGTGTAAGATCCTTCAATGAGCCTCAGACACACCAAGTTAAATGTCCAATGACGGCTAAGAGAAGTGGATCTACGTAGTACACATATATGGTAAATCAGATGTGTTATTTGTAAATCAAAATTTTGATATTCAAATTTTATTGCTTTTTTGTTTTACTTTTTGTAAAAGAGATGCAAGTATTATTAATTATTTATATAAATAATTTTCACATAAGTTTGTATTCTATGTATACAAACCATCATTTTGGACTTGGTTCTTCTGATTTGCAGATTAGTGCAGTATATGTAGTTCTCATGGGGAAAAGTAAATTAAACGATAAAAATTTTCAAGGATGTCAACTTAATTTGCTTATTGCTTGATATGTAAATTGTTCAATGTTCATCAAATGAAGAGTGCAGTAAAATTGAAAAATAGCTTTTTTTAAAGATGAAAATTGCATAAAGTATTAATAATTAATATTCTCTAGTTGAAATGGTTAAGATTGAAAACTTGAATTTCTGCAACTGCATTGGTTTCATCAAAAAGGGAGTATAATAAGAGGGTCTTACCTGGTCTTAAGTTACCATTGAGCATGCTGAATCAAATGATACCAAGCATGTTTATTTTTAATTGAATGTTCATTTTATGAAAGTTTTTCATATGCTTAATTAGACTTAGGTTGTTGGTTGCACTTGTAAGGAAGAGATAAGGTGCTGGGGGTGGGGTGGGGGGTAAACCTTGGTATTGATCCATAAATACCATAATATTCTTGTAGAAACCTCTAAGATTTTTCTATAAAATTGAAAAAAAAATGAATGTCCATGTAGCCACCACTTTATTTCAAAGGTTATTATTATTATTATTTTTTTTGGAGGACCTGCATTTTAATGGTACAGGCAAACCTTGTTATTTCTATCCTGATGGGACCAATAAAAAAAATCAAGAAATCTGGTATAGTTTGACACATTGAGGTTAAAATGCTTAAAGAAAAAAATGGAAGAGACTTTCAATGAAATATGAAGATAACAAACAATAATCAAATTCAAATTCACATAATTTCGAGAGATGGAAGCAAAACTCTATTCTTATAATGTCTCATAAAAAAAAAAGTTTTATCGGACACAGTTTCAGGAAATAAATACCATTCAGTTAAAACACTGACACCCTTCAGCATGTTCAACAAAGATTAATATTAATATCTAGATTTAAAAGAATTGTTTTTGAACTTTTTTCCTAAAATTTATTATAACTATGTTTACCATGTTTACAGAATGCCTTGTTTCACAAAAAAGAACACTGTTCAGATATTTTCTCTGGACTGTCAATTTCTGCATTTCATAATCATGTGATACCTGTGTTGGAGCCCTCCCAAAAACCTCCCCTGTAAGGTAAGTTTTATATCCCAATGAAATGATTCTGTAAATTTAATAGACATGTGTATAAGGGTATAAGGTAGGTGTTATAATCACAGTGAGCTGACTAGTCATTTTCATTTTGTATGATTGGATTCAGATGTTATTCTATGTGTACAGAATGAAAGAATGTACAATTTTTATGATGAGAAATATATATGCGGTTGGATGAAAAGAAAGATTTTGTTTAAGTGAATGTTGTGTATGTGTCCATCACATTGTCTCAAGCCATGGTTGGAGTCTGCCTACAGCTCTCTCCTACCTGAGGCTGCTTGAGCGAATTAAGTATCGTTATCATGAATAATAAAACCTTATGTGTGATGTCACGTTATAACCCAATAAAAGTAATTGTTTATATTGCAGTTGACTTTAACGATAAAAAAACAAATGTTAGGTAAACAGTGACTGAAAAAAGAAGTCACATCAGAGGTTATTTTTAAATAATTGAAAACTTCAATCTCTTTTGGAAGGAATTGTTTCTGATCATCTTCTTGTAGCTTACTAACACACATGTCATCATATCAGGATTTAAAATTCTGCCATCAAATCCTTACCTTGTCATTTAACCTTCAGATTTTGTACTTGTTTGCTTTATTTCATTATGATCTTATATGCTTGTCTCATCTACTTCCCAAGGCAAGATGACATGACCATCACTTGGGTTTACCTTAATTGATCTTATTTATGGTTGACCTCTTTGTATACAGATTAGACTCATTTATCTCTATATGGATTAAACTACTCTGATCTACACTAATTGTAAATTAAAATAAGATATATTCAGTCCAACAATCAGTGTTAACCAACATTTACAATGTGACCATCATTGCTGAGGGATGTGTAGCCTTTGACCCTGAAATTTACATGTCTATCTCTGCATGCTTTTTACTTAGTCATGATGTAAAGATTTAAATTTCAATTCAAGTTCCCTCTTTGAGAGTGATCAACAGTATTGTTTTTTTTTAGTGGTATATTATAAATTATTTATATTTATTATTTTACAGATTTCAAAGTTAAGGAGATCATTCAAATGACAGAGGTTTTGGTCCATGTTGGTTTGTCTCAACAGTTAATCTTTGGAAAGCAGTGTTGGAGAAAATATCAGCAACATGTGAAGACTGTGATTTAGTTTCATATGATATGACTAAAGAAAGTTAATATTTTTGATTTCATGGTTGTATGAACAAATGCTTTGAACTTTCCAAACATCATTGAAAAAGAACATACGATGACCAAGCAAAAATACATATTTGAACTTTCCACGAGTTTACAATGAAGAACATTTTGGGATCTTGATACAGGATATTATAATAGTGTTTTATCTAATTTATTCATATTGTTTAGTGCATTAAATGCAAAAAAATGTTTTAAAGTCACACTTGTGAAACCCATGCTAAGAACACAGGTCTCAAATATCTTAGAGAGTTATATTAGAGTTATATTATTAGAATTGAAGCTTATTTATAAAATTATACCTTATATCTTTAAAGAAAGTTTCACAAAAAATAGTCAAACTTGCAAATACTGGTTAACATGTTAAAAGAAATATAATATCCTGAAAGTGATTAAGAATAAAACAAGATGTGTTTGTGAAACACTGATGCCCCCGTATGGCAGCTTATGGCGAAGGTTAAAGTATCTCAAATGCAAGTCAAAATCCAGGCAAAAAGATAAACAAGAGGCCCATGGGCCACATCGCTCACCTGAGTAACTTTGGCCATGCTGTTCATTACCAGACTCCCCCCTTGTAATACCTATTGTGGCCCCACCATCCCCCCAGGGGTCATGATTTGAACAATTTAGAATCTACACTACCCCAGGATGCTTCCACATAAGTTTCAGTTTTTCTGGTCCAGTGGTTCTTGAGAAGATTTTTAAAGATTTTTCCTATATATTTCAATGTAAAACTTGGGATTCCCCCTATTGTGGCCCCGCCCTATCCCCTGGGTCATGATTTGAACAATTTAGAGTGTACACTACTTGAGGATGCTTCCACATAAGTTTCAGCTTTTCTGGCCCAATGGTTCTTGAGAAGAAGATTTTTAAAGATTTTTCCTATATATTTCAATGTAAAACTTGTATTTCCTATTGTGGCCCCGCCCTACCCCTGGGGGTCATGATTTGAACAATTTAGAATCTACACTACCCCAGGATGCTTCCACATAAGTTTCAGCTTTTCTGGCCCAGTGGTTCTTGAGAAGAAGATTTTTAAAGATTTTTCCTATATATTTCAATGTAAAACTTGTATTTCCTATTGTGGCCCCGCCCTACCCTCGGGGGTCATGATTTGAACAATTTAGAATCTACACTACCCCAGGATGCTTCCATATAAGTTTCAGCTTTACTGGCCCTGTGGTTCTTGAGAAGAAGATTTTTTAATGACCCCACCCTATTTTTGTCTTCTCTTGATTATCTCCCCTTGTGAGGGGACTTGGCCCTTCATTTTAACAATTTAAATTCCCCTTCACCCAAGGATGCTTTGTACCAAGTTTGGTCAAAATTGGCCCAGTGGTTCTTGAGAAGAAGTCAAAAATGTGAAAAGTTTACAGACAGACGGACGGACGACGGACAAAATGTGATCAGAAAAGCTCACTTGAGCCTTCGGCTCAGGTGAGCTAAAAATGTTGATACCCAAAGAAAGGTCTTGTCTATATAGGAATATACCTGTGAAATTTGAAAGACCTAGCTGCAACTGTTCAAAAGTTATGGCGTTGGTTAAAGTTTTTTTTAAATAAAAACGTCAAGGTCAAGGTCAAAGTGGTTGGTAACCAAAGGAAGGTCTTGTCACAAGGATTACATATGTGAAGTATGAAAGCCCTAGCATCAACCATTCGAAAGTTATGGCCAAGGTTAAAGTTTTTCAAAAGTAGGTCAAACTCCTATGTCAAGGTCAAAAGGTCAAAGTGGTTGGTATCCAAAGGAAGGTGATGTCACAAGGATTACATATGTGAAGTATGAAAGCCCTAGCATCAACCATTCAAAAGTTATGGTCAAGGATAAAGTTTTTCAAAAGTAGGTCAAACTCCTAGGTCAAGGTCAAAGGGTCAAAGGGGTTGATATCCAGAGGAAGGTCTTGTCACAAGGAATACACATGTGAAGTTTGAAACCCCAAGCACCAACTGTTCAAATGTTATGGCCAAGGTTAAATTTTTTTCTAAAGTAGGTCAAACTCCAAGGTCAAGGTCAAAAGGTTAAATATGATGGTACCCAAAGAAAGGTCTTGTCACAAGGAATACACATGTGAAATATGAAAGTCATAGCTCCAACCAATCAAAAGTTATGGGCAAGGTTAAAGTTGACAACAGACAGACAGACAAACAGACAGACAGGACAAAAACAATATACCCCCGGGATCTTTCGATCCGGGGGCATAAAAAAGTTCATTTATCATCCTTTTCTTTTGTTCTTCTTGGTGACTTTTTTTACAATAATCAAAGACATTTACATTTTAGCTCATCTGAGCAGAGGCTCTATTGAACTTTTCTGATCAAAGAGTCTCTGGTGTCTGTCCATCTGTCATCCATAAAAATTAAACCCTAAAATAGGGGTATCAAAGAATAGATAGGAAAAAATCGTCCTTTAATGAACAACAAGGTAATGATTTACTCATAATGTATGCAAGCATCCTCAAGAAGTGAAGATTCAAGTTGGTCAAAATCATTTGCCAGACTTATTATTAATAATATTAAAATATTCCCTATTTGTATTTTTTTTTCATTTTTTTTCTTCAGATAAATCTGAGATCAGATTTTACATATAAATTGGTAAATGCATGTATACATGTGAAAAAAAACTTTAGAAAACATATAAGCCATGTTAGCCATATTGATAATGAAATATCCTCATGTTGTGGAATCAGTTTTGGATTAGACATGGCCTTATGACCCAGGGTGGGGCCACAATATTAGCTCAGATTTGTTTTTATGAGAATTAAGGGGGATAAGAATGTCTTAGAAATCTGAAGAACACTAAGGTGACTCAAGTGAATGTTGTGGGCCAGGCCTCTTATTTAAATTGCCCACTTCCATTATCCCTGCAGATTTTTAACATCTTATTTGGCATATTTTTAAAGGAGAAAATCATTTTTCTAACATTAATTTCCCTGTGTTTTGTAAACACCATAGAGTAATATTTTAGATACATCTGGGCTTTCATATAAAGTGCTATTTTTAGATCAACAGTGAGTCTCTTTAATTCTATTTTTAACACATTGCCATGTGGTTGGGACTACTTTCATGGCTAACATTTTCTTGTTTAAGTAACAAGTATGCATTTAAAGAAATGTACCTATTGTAGTGAGTTTACATTTAAATCAAAGGTTCTTCACAAATAGTTGTAGCCACTTAATTGGTTTAACTATTTCATATTTTTTTGGATTTTTTAGTGCACTACTAAAACCTGTGGCTGCGCAGTCCTGCAGGTGTATTGTGCACTTCATAGCTGCAAACTGCAGCAAGTGTCAATTAAGCTGCATATACCCAGAGATTGTTTTCATTATGAAGATGACATGGACCAGTTTTCAAGTGTTAGCAAGGCTTAATTTTTGAGATATTAAGGTTTTTATTTTTAGTGAGTCTCACTTGGGTGCACACAAAACCAAACCCTTAAAATGACTTTAAACTGGGTGATATTTAAATGCGGAGTCGGGAAATAAATCGGTTATTGTTTTAAACTCTGATATCTATGAATCGCGATTGATTTAAATTATGTAATTTACAGGAAAGTCCCATCTTTATATAAAGTGATAAAACAAATAGAAAGATCTTTTTAATTTTAGTTAGTCTGAACTTATAAAAAATACGCCATATATGATTTTTAATTTTTATGTAAAACTCTTGTCCTGAAAGGGAATATGAGAGAAATAATATATACTCTTCAGGTAAATGCAAACAAAGGCATAATTACAATCAAAGAAGAACTGAAGGTATGGTTTTGGCTATATTGTGCCCTAAAAATTTAATGTTTTCAAAAAGTTTTGAAATCGGCTTAAATATGAGTTGAGTACATGTATATGAGTGTTATAATTCAAGAAAGAATATGGCACGAAGGAGGACCATTCTGCAAATATGGCGTCAATAATTTCGTGTTTTTCAAAGTTTTAAGCAGAAAAAGGCTCAGAATGACTCATTTCAAATGTGTCCACAGCCGTCGCCCACTTCAATATTCTGATATGTTGTGTAAAATTCTTTGAAAAATCATATTTCTCAAAATCTTTGTGGGCGATGCATGTGGTCTATATTATCTGAAAGAAAATTTCACTGAAAATTGATGTCTTTTGCAACTTTTTATGAAAGTACGGGAGAATGTACAAGTTTATGACGCCACAATTAGCACCAGGAAGTCAAATGAGAAAAACGATTTGTTTGATCATAGTGCATGGAGTTTTAACATTTCAGAAAGCATGAATTTTAATCTCTTTCATCACTTTCGTATTTTAGAAAAATACAGGGCCAGATTTGTATTGAAACTGTACCTTGTTCTTTAAACGTATTCTGACTTCTAAAGGGATTTTCAATGCAAATGTAGTTATAAATACAACATGAACACGTGATGGAACTCCCAGATGTTAAGGTTCACCTGTATAATAGGTCCGTACGTTCTTACAAAGTTGATAAATGTTTCGTGTACATTGCACCAAGTCCCTCCACATTCTTTTTTATTCATAACTTAACCTTTATCATTAATCGTTTTTGTTTACATGTTTATTTATGATCTTATGTAATATTTCGTTTTAAGGACATACGCAATGTAGTTTGAACTTTATTGTATTTTTCCCTGGAATTGGAAGAGTTCCAATAATTAAATGAACTGTGTACTACATTTTAATGCCTATAAATGCTGTTGTATACTTCTTCTAAAACAAGTTTGGATCAACAAAACATCTAGAATATATGTTTAGTAATTTTTGTATATTTTTCTTTGAATTATACAAGAATTTTCATCACATTGATATATCTTTTCAAAACCCCTGGTAATGCATACTGATTTTTTTGTCTACGAACATCTGATGGCACTATAATCTTAAATTAAGAATATCTTCAAAAATTATCAGTAGGTAAGGTACGTTACGTATGTCCTTAAAGTCTGAAATACGATTAAACAATACAATATTTATGTAGATATTTTATAGTTCAAATAATGCACTAAGACTTGTTACACTTCCCACGCGATCGGAGAGTAATTCATATACTAGTACATGTATACTGACTCAAGCTCCACAAATAAATCGGAATAATTTTTCCGCAAAATCTTTTTAGTCCTAATTTCATACCTTTCAATGAGAAGAACTTTGTTCTAAATACTTCGTTTAAAATTTGAATTTGATTTTTTTTTTTTTTTTTTTTTTTTTTTTTTATACATATTTGTATGAAATACGTACAAGAAAACTTTACTGTGGAAAAATTCTTTCGGCATTTATGTGATGGTAAAAAAAATATTAAGGATTATTGGGGAATGGAACCCAAGCGATAAAGTATGAGTATCAGTTTTTCTTCTTATAACAGTTAATAACGGCATTTAAATCTCGCTTGTGATATGACCCTTGACAACTCAGAAACTGGACTTACATTTTTTGTAAATATTTCTCGGAAAGATATAAAGAAGATGGGTGAACATGACGAGCGAAAAGCCTATAGTGTGACAAACATGAAAGTGAAAATTTAAATTTTAATTATATCAAAAATTTCCTTGATATTTCATTTAACATTAAATTATACGTTATGTAAAATCTCTACAAATTGTAAAAATCTCACAAAATTTGAAATTATTTGCTTATGAAATATTATAAACACACTAAAGAGGGCAAAAAGAGTCATTTTCTCACACTATAACACTATTTTTCGTTATGAGTGGGTCTTCGCTTCATTTTTTTAAAGTTAATCCTCAAAGTTTGCATAAAAACATACATTTTTTGGTTTCCAAAAACATGTAGAAAAGACCCACAATACATTAAAAATATATTTTTATGACATAGCATTCGCATCTTTTCGAGTAATACTTGAAGTCCATTAAGTCAAGGGTCATATCACAAACATGATTTAAATGCCACTGTTCATCAGGACTTGTGTAGTCTAGTGGTTAGCGTGCTAGTCTCGAAAGAAAATGATACTCAGGATTTTTATTGCTAGAGTTCGAACCCCACGAATACCACATTATTTTTTTTAATAAAAGAATAATTTCTTCCGAGAAAATTTTCCTCAGAAAATTTTTGTTTATTATAATTTCATAAATTTCAATAATGAGAGCTTTACTCTAAATACTAAATTCACAAATTGAAATGATTTTTATATATCTGAAGCTATAGGCTTTCTGCACGATATGTTCACCCATCTCCTTTTCTGTCATAAAAGTTTATTTTTAAGGTAATAGGTCTTTGCTTCATGTTTTCGATAAGCAAAAAATGCATACCTTTAAACATACTTTGAAGATACACTTAAACAATGGAGCAAAGACCCACTTAATATCGAAAAATTGTATTGTAGTATAAAAAATGACCATTTTGCCCTCTTTCGTGTGTGCATGCTACATGTACTTCATACACGAATAATTTTCACACTTGTAAGATTGTTGCAAATTGTGGAGATTTTACATAAAGTAGACAAAAATGTTTATTGAAACATCAAAGAAAATTATATTATAACTGAGTTTAAATGTTTCACTTTTATTGAAAAGGAGGCATTTCACTCGACTTATTCGCCCATCTTCTTTGGAAAAATGGATTGCGCTACGTGTACATGCACTGACCAATTGCAATGGGAAACTAACAAATAAGACAGATGAGAGTTTTACAATCATGAATGACTCAACAAGACTATATATAAAGATGCAGTAATTCACTAGAAGTATTAATAAATGACAAAAATTAATGATTATAAAGGGCACACTGCAGCAATGTTCTGTGAGAAATGTCTTTATAAAGTGAGAGAATTTCAAAAAGTTCAAAATAATTACTTACATATCGACACAACAAAATTTGCAAAGGATTTACTTAACGTGTATTTTACCTCACTAATAAAAAAAATGAAAAAAAGATCTTTAATGTTTTCTAATTATATATTCTAAACAAACACTTTCATAAGGTGTAAAGTCTGTAGATCATATCATTAGTCATGAATTGACAAGGAAATGTACGACTTGTTAAATTCTACTTATCATCGATCAGATGTTCCTCAATGACAACATAAAAGAAAAAAAATATACCTATCCTGTAACTTACATAAGTCCATTACATTCTTGATGAGAATGTTCGTTGTATTTTTGCTTCTCACTGCACCAGCCTCTAAGAAGGCAAACCCACATTGCATAACTGCAAAAAAATAATTATAATTAGAATGGAGTCTTTCTCAACTAAATTTTTATTAAATTGTGGAAATGATGCAAAACTTTATTTACATCATGTACGAAGTCCACGTGTACTTTTGTCAGTGCACCATGTTCTTGAAATTTACATCGTATAGGCCGTTAACTTGATAATGTTGGAATACATTCATTTGAAATGAAATATATGGAGATAACGAATAGTATTCAAGCTCAAAATTAAAGTCCATTATACAATACAAAATATAAGCAGAGCAAACACTAAAACACGGACCTCCAAACATCAGAGGTGGGATCAGGTGCCATGGAGGAGTGAGCATCCCCTGCCGACCGGTCACACCCGCCGTGTGCTCCTTGTCATGATCGGGAAATAACGGAAAAATCCGTCGACAATTCAGTGTGTAAATAATGGTCTAACAATTAGTATGAAAAACGTCAGTCAGCATTTGACTCAATGATAAATTGTATTTGTTGACAAGGTCATTGTATCGACCATAGAACTTACGAAATGATGACTTTAAACGAGACAGCTGATATTCTTGTTTCATCAACTTATTTGTCAATAATTTACCTCGTTTTAGAAATTGTACATACGTAGAGCATGCTCTTGCGTATCGAATCAACTGAGAGATATATACCCTGTATGCAGGTGATGAAGGTATATTGCTGCATAAGTAAGGGAAGTTGACGATTGAAAAGTTAAAGTCATCACGTTTATCATAAAGCTTGGTTGTTAGATTACCATTAACGTCTTTTTCAAGTAAAATATCCAAATATGAAACAGATGTGTCAGACTCTGTGGTATCTTTTATCTCAAGTTCACCAGGATATATCATATCGACATAAGAATGAAAATAGCCATTGTTAATTGACAATACGTCGTCGATATATCTAAATGTCGAGTTGAGCGTATATATTTTAAATTTCTCTCTTAAAAAGAATTAGTAAACGCTGTGTATAATTACATAAACCTGAAAAGATGGAACAGATACATGTACATTGCTGCAGCGCAAGTATATTTATCAACAACTGATGCATCTAAAACATTTCAGTTGCGATCAATTTTAATTTTTCATAAGCAACCGACGACTATATTAGAGTGCAAACTCTGCATAGAAAGAATTAATATATCAATAATAGAGCAAATCAAATCAATTACATGTAATAATTTAAGGTAAATGTGCTGATTAATTCCCATAAAGAATAAATAAAATTATGAAAGGTTAACTTACAAACAATGCACATTCCCATGATGATTAAAAATAAATGATCCACATTGTCTTTAAAATTGACTGTCTCTATAATCAGTTCAGAAATATTTCCAGCCATTTTTTTTTTTCACAATGGAATTTATCGGAATCTATCCAAACCCTGTCAATTTCTCCCGTTTAATCAAAATAATTCACAGAGAGTCATAGCATCAATTTTATCTAACATCAAGACACGGTTGAATGATTTGCTTTCAATGTCTTTTTTCTATTTTAAAGTAATATCACTAGTGTTTTTCGAACGAAATTCAGAATTTAGAAATGTGATAATGCTTATCCGATGAGTGGAAAACAAAAGGAAGGAAAAAGAAAAGAAAAAACGGTTGGGTGAATTTTAATTGCAACCACTAAGTAACAGGTATTTAAAGAAAATTTTGTTCATGCTCTAAGAGTGTGCATTTAACATTTTAAGACCGAGTGATCAAGTCGTGCTCATGATCAGAAATTTTTTTTGAGGTTTAAAATCTAAAAATAAGACCCACACCCTTTTATGACAATCAAAAAAAAAAAAAGTTTTTAGATGCTTGGAAAAATACAATGCACGGAACCCCATTTTCGTTTCTTTATCTCTAATTTAACATGTTACAGTAACTTATGTTTTCTCAGACCTGTACAGATGTCTTACATAAAATCTCTTCATTACCGATAGCTCTACATTGCATCTTATAGTTATTTAAAAACTGAGATTAAGATATGGAAGACTAAACCTGTACCTATTTTAAGAAAACAAATTAAACCAGGCAGTTAATTTCAAAATTCAGAGAAAGTGACCTTCTTAAGAAGTTGAATGATGTAGATACAACTTAAGATATGTCCATTCTACACGAATACTACACGAATGTACCAAAGTACATTTATATTGCAAAATGAAAAGAATGTACCTTCCTTCTTTGGTCAAAGATAATAGTAAAATATGATTAAACTAGGAATTATCTTTATATTTTCATTCATAGAAAGCAATGATACTCTCAATACAATTGTTATTCATTATAACATGGTATGTAGTGTTGATTCATCTACATGTACCAGTGAAATGAAGTCTCATTGTTTCAAGTTCATTCTCTCATATTTAACATTTTTTGTAAATAATCTCTTAATGTATACATGCATTAATTAAGTATGAATGTTTTAAATGCTCAAACAGATTTATCGGTGTATGATGTTTTATGAAGTGAACTTTTGTCAGCAGTTGGAGATTTTATAAACAGTGATAAAGTAGTCATTTGAATGAAAATGATGTGCATGTCGGTCAAATATTGTTTACACTATACTATATGTATATCCATTGTAATATAATTGCACGTGTACATTTTTGTGACTATAGTGTGCACAATACTAATTTTAATTAAAAACGATAAAATACATAATGATCATTGTAAATTAACCACACTTACAGAACACGATCATTCCCATGACAAACAGGAAAAAATGGTCCACATTCTGTTTCAAGTTCATAAAACTCTGGGAAACTTCAAAAACCTCGCCAGTGATGTTCCTCAGATCTAGTGTGGAGGCCATGTTTTACTCTTCGGAGAAAATGTCGTAGGATAATCTCCTGTCCTGCATTACGAGTGAGCTGTGTTCAGTTTACAGCTATTAAGACTTGACACAGTTAATGTAGAACACGTGGTCTGGTCACCAATGGACTTTCCAAAACACAATGCTTTTGTAATGTAACGGCCAGGCAAATTCGTGCGCCGGTGGCCAGAAAGGTGAGCTGGCAGAACACCTATTTGGAATCCGGATTTTGAATCCCTAGTTCAGTACATTGCATATTTATTCTTCTCATTACAGCTTAAAAGAACATGTCCACATAAATGGACCACGGGTGCATGTTGACAGCCCCCCCCCCCCCCCCGTACACCCCTCTTATAGTATACATACATAAACATGTATATTTACATCCTTTGATTTTTTTTTATATATAAGTAACTTGGACAATGGAGTTCAATATAAAAAATAATGTAGAATGAACTTTTCGCTTAAATAATGTTTGCAGTATTTTATAATGGCGGGAACATATACTTTGTCATAAGGTTCGGTCCAAGTTATTTTTTTAAGAGTTTATATTGCATACATTGTAAATTGTGCTAGAAGTCAGAATAATTCACTGGAAAAACAGGGAAAATCTCTGGGTGGACAATCAGATTTTGTAACATAATTTGCAGTTTAATGTTCACAATTTAAAAGTTTCAGGTTTGCAATGCTTTCCAAAGTTGGGGACCAGCCACAAAAGTAGTTGACAAGAAAAAAAGGCCTACAAAATGTAATCTCAAAAATCCTATTTCTGCAGGGAGGGGGGGGGGGTGTCTTGCTTTCTTTATCAGCATTTATTTATATAATTATCTAATACAATTATGTGGGCTTGATAAATTCGACCAATTTTAATGCTAAATTTACCGCTAAAGGCCATTCTCAAAAAAGTGGGGTTGGGTGGGGAGGGGGTCGTCCCCTGGTCCAAGGTTCTTGAACTGCACTCTTTCATCGTAGTGCCCCGTTACTTTTCTCAGAGTTGAAATACGGTGCCAACCTTCGTTCCTCAGATATTTATTGGATCTCTAGTCTGAATATTCTGCATCATATTTTAGTTCTGGTAATATATTTAGATTCTAACTTATTTTGAAAATTCCGGAAATTCCAAAGACTCACATACATGTACTCACTTTTATTAACTGTAAAAAAAAAATAATGTCAGAAAAATTATATTTTATGTGTGCAGAAAGGTTACATGTGAAGTATTTTGGAAGTTTTTTTATGTCACAATATTTTACATAAAATAGGACTGCGTTTGATGCTATGATTCACTCAAGTATTTTTTTTTTAATGTTCAAGTTACATTTATAGTGCAGAAAGTTCATATCAAATGCTTAGAAGGAATGAAAAATTGACCCCTATTTTGGTTATTAATTTTTAAATAAGCTACATATATGTGTAGATACATGTATTGAAAAAATATTTAACAACTAATCTTAAAGTCCTTTTATTGAAGGACCCAAGCACCTAAAAAAAAAACCCCTTCTTTTTTATTATACCGGTATAACGAGGAATATACAAGTGCGTACAAAAATATAGAAGATCATCAAATGATTTAGAAAAGTAATATTAATGGTACTAGAGATCCGGGATACGTAGTAAACTGCTTTGAATTAATGTGACACGTGAATTTTCTTCGTGAGTCGGCTATAATTTGACAGAGATCTGAAATGAGTTACAAAAGCGCACTTGAACGAAAGGTTGAATGACTTCTTAAAAATGTAGAGTAATTCATAATTCTGCAATCGAAATCAAATAATTTAAGTATCTAGAAAGCACTACATCTTAAAATTAAGAATATTCTCACACCTAACATTTTTAAGTGTAAAAATGAAAAAATAAAAATAAATAAATTTATATAAGTTAATGTTTTATTTAAGTGATACTTTATGTAAATGTCACCAAGAAACCGATATAATTTTGATAATGTGTGTCATCTCCCGTTCATTGACGAGCGCACTATACACATTTAATAAATTAGCGGCCTTGTAGGTGTTGTAAGTTTGTTGTTATCTATTAACTTAATTCGAAGTGAATGTTGCAGGAACGGAGTATCGGGGGTTGGGGGAGGAGTTTCCAACTTCTTCTGAAAATGCTGTTTCATGTAATCTATTATGGAAAATTTCATTGAAAGGCCGGTTCCCCCCCCCCCTTTTCACACAGTCACACCGACCTTTTCTTTGAGTAAGGTCGAAGCTCTCACGTCATTGTATTCAAATACTTTTTGTATCGAGAATAAGAATACCCCCCTCCCCGCACGAAATACCATTATATAGTTATAATTTTGATCAGCTTTCTTTTGTATCGAGAATAAGAATATCCCCCTCCCCGCACGAAATAGAATTATCTAAATAATTTTGATCAGCTTTCGGTTTGTTTTTATTTTTAATTATTTGGGCACTTTTTTTAGACTGGCTCCCCACTTTGAAAAAATGATTCTTCGTGCACATGTAAGAATATTTTTACATACATTGTATGCAGGTTCGTTTCCATTACGTGCTGTTTCCATTTCTATATCAAAGAATAAAAAAGGAAATACATATATAAAAAAAAAACGGGTCCTCGGTTTATACGGTCTCATTACAAGGACTGGTCCCCACTTCACACAGTTGATTCGAACCCGCGACGTAAGGATCAACACCATACTCCGTGATTCTAGAGCAAATGCTTTAACCACTGCGCCACGCGGGCGACTACAAAGGGAGGAAGTATGAACTCTGATGTAAGTGTTTCGGAGTTAATTTGCAAAATTTATTCATTTATAAATACGATTGATTAGATTGCTGAAACTATGTATCACCTCTCATTCATGACTGAGAATTGATGAAATGTAATGTAATGTTGCGTGTAATGTTATATAAATCATTTGCATCTGAACAAAGATAAAATTTCTTTTATAATATTTTTTCAGATTTAATCCCATTAAATAGTAATTACAATCCTTTGCATTATCTCATTAACTACAAAGTGCATGCATATGTTAATTACCCTCCTCGATCTTCTGTCATCGTTCAGGAATTCATGAAAAAAAAAGTCATTTGCTGTTTGCTTATGTAACATATTTTACATATCAATTCCTGGCGCACATGTCGGTGAAGGACATCAGCTAGGTCGTCAATAGAAAAGTATTAGTTTTGGTGTATACATTTTTTGTTTCAATAAAAGAAGCATGCAGAGCTTTAACGTGGTTCAATCAATCTTTCATTTAAAAAAACTTAAGTAAAGTAAAATTGTGCACTTTAAAAGCAATGAATTGCCATTTACGCTGTCATGCAGTGATTCAAGCTTCACCTTATTTAGATATTATTGCCATGACATGGTGTGCGCGTTTCCAAAAATAATCCACAGCATCATTGTGTTGTTTTTACTAGACAACCCTTGCTATCTTTTATAATGTGAACACAGAGACGTAGTCATAAACAAATGATTTAACTAGTCTATAAGTTTTATTTTGAAATACGAGAGAAAAAAAACTTTATTAAAAATAAACTTTTCTTCTATAAACCCTATTTTTCATTTTTTTCTTCTCATTATTTGCATTTTAATTCAATTTTACTTGATAAAATTTCATTTTAAATTTTTTTTTTAAAAAAAGACTATAATATTTGAATGATATTCCAGTTTCCATATTATTATTTCTTCTTATTCTTACATTTTCAGTTTCCTCCATTGTATGAAAAATATGTTTTAGACCCCAACGACATAAGCATTCTGATTTCTTTAAATTAAATGTTTCTTCTTTGTAGTTTATTTTAACATTAATTTAAATGAACATGCTCTGACGAGCTTGTGCTCTATGTAATGTAAATAAAATCCTGGACACGTAATTATACAGTCAGAATTAATAACATTCAGGCGCGGATCCAGGAATTGTCTACAGGTTGGGGTGGAGTTGGGGGGGGTAGAAAAAAAACCCGATTTCGTGGTCGTGGTTTTGGGGTATACGTTTTCCAGGGAGGGGGATCCAAATTCACTTTTTATCATCTGCAGTACATGTATATACTTTTAATAACTCTGCAAATTCTAGGGGGAGTCCGGAACACCCCGATGTTCATGAAATCTCCCTTGCAGAGTTGTCGTTCGTTATTCTCTCAGACACGTGATCATGTATAAAAGCTGAAGTCATACCTTCGAAACCTGAGGTATTCTTCACATATACAATCATACATATTTTGCAAAAATTTGAGAGTAAAATAATATTTCAATAATTACCTAGTGGAATATTTATCTATTATTTATCCTATTCAAGACCTACTTCATCACGCTATTAGATAAATTATTGATGCAAGGATTGGCCTTTTATTGTAGTGGGTGACCATGTAGTGCAACACGTCACAGACTTAGAATATACCCGGATAGACCTACTCACTCCAGACGAGCTAAACAATATACTCCTTTATGCATTTTCTTGGAAGAGATGTCAATTTAAGGGATTTATCGTTAAACAAGTTTGTCCCCTTTGAATCGACCGATTTTACTTGTCTCGTATATGGGTTATAAGAAAGAGAATACTCTCTCTCTCTCTTTATATATATAATTACATTTACTTTGATTTATCCATTGAATAAAAGTGATAGGGCACCCCTTTTCGGAGACAAAAGTCCTTCGATGTAGAAATATGAAAAGTTCATTTATAGGCTGCTTGACTCACCCACTTTTTGTCGTAGTATGGCCGAACTCTGGCAATTCTTGCATCACCGAAAAAAAATACCGATAAGTTGGAGAAAGATCCTATCACCTTCCCCATGAAAAAGGATTTTCGAATTTGGGAAATTTAGTTGTTTTCTTTTTCTTTTTTTTTAATTTTTGCTTGTCACATTGCCCCTCCCAACTGAAAAACCTTGCAACGAGTCTGTACACAGACACATGGTCGTCATGTCATGTCTGTAATTGAACATAGTGATCATCAAATTAAACATTTTTTTATTTATCATTTTATACACATTTAAATACAACCATAAAGTTCTGTTCATTGGCTAAACTCCCTAACTTTATATTTACATAATACTTCAGAATCCAACATACAATGTATATTATAACGTCATGAAAATCATGTACAACTGCGTAAATGTACACATGTTTGTTAGGTTCTACAAAAATACTGACAATGAATTAGGTACAAAAATAAATAATGTTTCAAATATATAAATTTTCAGCGAATTTAATTTCACTTGGTATCAATGAAGATGGGGATGGATTTCTTTGAGGCTATTACACTGAGAGGTCCTAGCTGCCGATTGGTCTGTCTGGTTTACATCTGTACAAGGTAAACTGTAAACAAAAGAATAAAATACATTGTATATTTTTGACACTCAACATGATGTGTAACAAAGAGAAGATATTTAATTTGATTTGAACATAATATATTTATTGTAATAAATATATACAATGGGATTGAGCAAAAGCTCTTAAAATTAATTTTTGCAGATAAAAATAGGATGTAGATCTATATTTTAATGTTAAGTGTTCAACCCTGTTGATGTACTGTAGCTGCAGAACTGTAGCTTTCTGGGAAATAAAATTCGGCCAAAGATTTTTATATACTAGAGAGCTAAAGATGATATGGTATAAATTGATCTTAATTCAAAAATTAAGGTTATCATGACCTAGATATATTTTATATTCTAGACAAACTACCAACTAATTTAAAAGCCATATTTAGTGGCATTTTAATTCACTAGCATCTTATAACACAACGTAGTAAATGATTATCTTTCTTTTTCAAGAACCCTCTAGGGCACAATCCGTGATAAACTACATGCATATAAAATCGGTCTCCTTACGTCATCGATGCAGCCATTAAAATGTTCATATCCCTCTCCCCATCCGATTTTCATACCGCATTGAGCACGCTCTACCACGCCTGTAATAAAAATTTCAATATTTCGTACTTTTATATTATTGCATAATTTTATACAGTCGCTGCAATTATACAGAATGTCTTTTAATTTTTCAAAGTTTATGCATGAACTCACCAACTGCATTCTTTTCTGCCGTCTGTGAATCTGACGTCAATTTGATATTACCGTTATCTATTACCAGGGCAACTCTTCTCCATTCTATTGCTGGAATCTTAAAAAAAAAAAGAGTTCTGTCAAAGGCATAGGAGAATGGGGCAAAATATAGAAATATAAAACAAAACTTCCGAGACTTTTGGAGGTGCCCCCATCACCTGCACTTTCCTATCCCCCATTCCCTCACACCCAATCACGCAAATTTGTGAAAATGATTTCATTAAAGAACAAATATCTAAGACATATTTCGCTAAATTGTATATTTGAGATGCATATTAATTGCACATTTTGGATTTTTTACATGCAGCTGTTATCATAAGAATTAAAAAAACGATTTCAATATAGTAGTTGCAACGACTAAATGTAGACAGACGGCAGAATGATTCTCATTTCAACCTCATTACCCAAAAATATTCTATTTCATAAGTGTAAATATTTTCGCAAGAATTTACCCTGTCTTACTAAGAAACCATCAAAGTAAATTTTCTCAATATGATTAAAAATGATGTTACTAATATCCAAATTTTAAATGACCCCTTATAAAACCAAATTACAAAGTACTTTATAATTCCTTGATGATCGAATTAAGATAGCGTCGGCATCTAGAAACCAGCCATCTGAATTAAGATACAAAATTACATTACACCCATGACTTACCAAGTATAAAATTTGAATCAAGATAATATAAGTAAATAATGTTTTATTTTGCGTTTCCGTCTCAAAATAAAATCAGGTACTAGGAAACTATGCACATTCATCATTTACATTCGTTGACATGAAAACATTGGTTAAGAGGATATTCAAGACTCTACTAGAAGAAATTTTATTATTCGTAATCGTATGTTTGAAAATTCGAAAATGATTGTTTCTAGACTACCCTTAGCTGCTCATATCAGAGGGGCCGATAGCACACGATTTTTTTTTAAATTTTAGGTAATTAGTCCCTGTTGCTCATATTGAGGTAAAAAAATGTACAAGTAATTATTTCTATAATAATGAACTCAAAATATTAGTATTATCCTTATTGAGATTTCTAGTTCTCAAAATATGAAAGAAATGTGGAGAATAATAATTTTGATGTATTCAAAGATACCTGTAAATGTAACATACGATCGTCATGTCAGAGAGAAAAATCTTGTCCAGACCATGGCTTTGGGACCCTCATTCAAAATTCTAGAAGTCAAGGTGACTAGGCAGTAAGGTGTTGAAATTTTGATACAAATCTTTTTAAGTCATTTATCACCACATAGATTTAAATAAGATATATATGTAAAATTGTAAATACATTCAGTCCGTATGATGTCTGATTTATTTTTTAAACCACATTTTTGACTTCCTGTCCAAAACCACTCAACCTTAAACTTGCCAGACTCAGAGCAACTTGCGAGATAGTTTTCCTTATACCTTATGTAAGTGGCAATTCTTTAATTGCCTTCTAGAGAGATTAGAATAGAGTACCCTTTCGAACAACGGTTATGTTTGGTATTTGTATCTGATCATCTTATATACTGGTAATTCGTGTATGCTTTGAACTTTTCTAATTTTTCAATGTAATATTTTCATAATTATTTTTCAATTTATTAGATGCATTATTTTTCAGTTTTCTTTTCGAAAACATTTATAAGACATTAAGAAATTTAATCTACTCGTTATCTTTTCATGATTTTTAATTAAATCTTCATTTTTTTCAAGAAAAATAAATAAAATCCCCAAAACTCTGGAAATCAAGTTCGAGATTGAGTTACCTCCCATACACATGGAGACGCAAACGAGAGATAACTCCAATATACTCAAATATTTTCCTCCCCTTAGCATACAGCTTACGAAGCAACTAATCGTATCAGAACAGCTGATGTTCATCAGATTGGGTCATCATGTGTATATTATTTTAACATCAGATTGTCATACTACAATATGTTTGATTATTGCATGCATGAATACACATTATTATATTACGTAGCTTTATAACGTCACACGGACTAGGAAGCGTAATAAATCGTGCTGGCTCAAGGGCATACGATGCAAATAAATACTCACGTTTAAGATAAGGTATTTTGGAACAATAATTGCTACAAAAATATCATATCTATGCATAATAGGCATTTAATAAGAATTTAAAGAAACATACCCCGGGTTAAGCATTTTTACAATGTGTTTTAACTTAAACCTCAATAAGAATAAATGACTACATGTATATGTAGTCATTTATTACAATACTGTCAACATGTGTGCATCAATTTTTTCGATCAGTCTTTGGGTTATTCTATTTATTGTTTAATTTGTCCACCTCTTATACAAAAATAAAAAAATAAATAAGTAAAATTACAAAAAAAAAAAGAAAAAAAGAAAAAAAAAGAAATCTTCAAGTGAATTCTTTTGCTATCTACATGTACGATCTATCGATCTTGTCTCATTGCTGACAAGTTTATCCCGAAAGGGGGGGGGGGGGGGCAAGTGGATTCAAAGCTTAGCTGTTCATAACTTGCCAATGCAGTCACTCTCATACTCACTTATTGCATTTTTACTTTTATTACTATACCAAAAGAATGCCTAATAGTTCCACCCCTTTATAAAGGGGTCGACATATACAGACTTATTCTTTTGTCATTAAGAAATTAGATGGGGAACGGCTATGCTTTAAATATATACACAATCCTGTTGACATCTTCACATACATAAGGATTTAGAGTATGGATTTCGTCATATATGAATTTCAAAATAAATTTGTATTTGTGCCGACAAAACTCTGTATTAAGGAGGTCCATCTTACTCCCCCCCCCCCCCCCCCGCTTTTCTCTAGACGGTAGAGAAATATGTAAATATGCAAGTTTTCACTCTCCCGCACCCTCAGTATCAAGTAATTCCTGCATATACAATGTCATTATGGACCTAAATTATGAAAAAAAAACTTCTTCCATCATTCGCTTTTACATATATATACATGTATATTTAAAATTAATTTTGAGAAGCAACTGACTAAATATAAAGAAATGCCCTTAAGAATCACAGCTATATATAACTGTACTTTAACAAATTGATAATCAAAAGTCCTTTTTTCCATTTTATTTATCTAATATTTATTATAATTTTTTGGGTAGATTTTCGAGTCTGCTTCTAATTTAATTCTTTGCACGTTCTTTTATTTTCAAACTTTTCGCTCCTCTGCCCGGAGGGTTTGATAAGTGTACACTAAGAAATAATACACTGAAAGATACTCATTTTTAAGATAACACCTCATTTTTCAAAAGTGATGAGTTAAATAAAGCTAATTAAAGAGAACAGAAATAGTTACTTTAATTTTCAGCAACACTGCTGACTTTTTTAAACACACACACAACACAAAGTTTTCCTATAATAATAAACACAAGTTATAGGCTACCAGTGACCTTGTCTTTGCATTTAAAAAAAAATAGCTGCATAGGTGCATCGTTATTTACCAGTTTATACACACACACACACACACACACACACACACACACACATATATATATATATATATATATATATATATATATATATATATATATATATATATATATATATATATATATATATATATATATTCTTAAGATCAGCAATTAAATGTACTGGTCAGCATACATTCTCTATCGAGAGTTGTCGTTCCCGCTACGCTCCCACCTCTGTCAACGCTTGGTATACAAGATTCTTGGAAAAATAGTATAAGGTAAAAAATTATATTTAAAAAGTTTTTTATTTATCAATAAAAGGACTTATTCTCAATCTATCGTCCCCTTAAAGGATTTTTTTTACGTTTTTAATTTTTTACTCCGAAAAACAGTTCCTTAATAAACGAGAAAATAAATCGTTCCAAGGGGTGATAGTTTTAAAATAAATGATAAAATATCATCTTTATTGAAAGCTACATTAATTTTTTATGACTTGAGTTCTACATATTCAATTTTTAAAACTTGTACAAGAATCTTGTACAACGAGCGTTGACAGCGGTGTTGGGAGCGTAGCAGAAGACAACTCTGAATAGAAAATGGTCAGCATATATGTTTTCCTTTTGACATGGTGAAAGCTTAAATATGTTGTAAGTTTACATCTGCATAATCAAAAAGTTATACATTTCATGCAGTCGCTACACCTTTGCAGACTTACCGGGGATTTAACATTAATTGTGTGCATCTCTCCAGTAGTTGACAAAACAGAAACAAAGTTTCCATCCGCAGTACTGCCCAGAATCAAAGATGGCTTCCTTTCACAGTCGCCATTGTAGAGGAGTACTTCGTTCTTTGGATTAGATAATACATGCCGATATCTTATTTTTACGTAAAGATATGAACCAAGGTCCATATTGGCAAACCTAGCCATTGCCAATACGGATTGCCCACTGAAGCATGCTGTGCCGCTGGTTGTCATGGTAACGTTGTCGGCACGGACATGTGTTCTGGCAATGGACTCGTCACTCAAGCCGTGCGTGAACGGTAAGTACACATCAGGGGAACAAACTGCAAGATAATAGACCTGTATTTGTTAATTCTATTCAAATACTGACTACGTTGAAGACCAATAGTCTATAATTGTAATTATTTTCTTTCAAATTAAGTTTTCTATGTAATTTTTTTTTTGCACGATAGCATAGTGACATACATGTACAAAAAATCGTGGGTTCCTATTCTCAATTTATATACGTATACTTTTTAAAATCAGATGCTCAATTTATCAAAAATTATTGAAAATGAGCAAAGCAGTACGTTTGTTTTTCATTTTTTTATTACAATAAAAAGTCCACTGTACTAGGAGAGCTACATGTACCGGCTAATAAATCGATGTTTATCTCCGATATGTGCAAAGCATTTCCGAGCAAAGATCGAACAGTGTTATCTGGGACTATACACATGGACTAACAAAAATATAGGTCCCTGGTTTTATCAATACAGGTTTATAAAAATTCAATTCGTATAATACACAGAGTTCAGTGAAGCATCCTGAGAGAAACGGCATTTTGTTTTTAAATTTGTTTTTTATATACCTAGACTCTGTTCCACAGTATAAATTTGCATAAAAATGCTGGTAATTATGCTAATAATTTAGTGTGGGATGCTTCGGGTCTCACTTGGAACGAAAAAATGGTTTGGACTGAAAACCACACTGGTTTAGACCGCAACCAAAGAATCACGAATTGAGCTATTGCTGTGTGGAACGACACGTGAATCCGGACAGGTCTACCATCAATTCATCATCTTTAATAGTGCTCTGCAATAACTTTTGATGAACAGAATAGACTATCCGATGAAAGATAATAATCTGTTCATTGTAATGACAGAGGAGCACAAGCGTGGGCGAATACCACCGAATATGTTCATGTATATGGCAAAGAGTGGGTCATGAAAAATGCCTTAAGCTCCTGCGAAATATTCCTTAAAATTGCTTCCCGATTACAACAGCCTATACATGTATATGTGTATTTTATAAGTTTAAGAAGAAAGTGTTTCCCTGCCAGACTGCCTGCGATTTCTACGAAATATATTCAAACAGTCATACTTTGTATTTCATGCCTATTCATAGATAGACACAAATTCGTACTGTATTTTTATTTGAATTTAATTAATTTATTTAATTACCTCGTTTTCCAAGTAAAAGATTTGTCAATGTTTCTGAGGCCCGACAGTCACAGACCTCAGGCCGGAATTCCGTGCCTGGTGAACACTGCTGGACCATCCACTCCTGCTGGATCCGCCCGGCAACACCTGGATTTGATTGGAAATACACATGGCGCTCGAATTTGTCCGGACTTCCTGGAACTGCACGTTTGTCGCATTCACCTAGAATTTCATCACACTTTTAAATCAGCAATATGCATTTTTTTTCGTACACTGCATTTACAGAATCCTCATATTCCCGAAAAGATTATTCATTCAATATAGGAGCATATTCGCTTTCAAGAAATGTGTATTTTCATTATAGTTACTGCGTTATGTTTTTAAAAGCATATTGTATATTAATGTTATAATGTTAGCCATGTATAAACTAATCAAGGTAAAGACGCTTACAGACATTACATGTAAATTTAAAAGTATAATGCAGTATCCATGATCCTAGGATCAAGAGGAGAAACGACAGAAACACTTCACATAGTATCTAGTATTAAATAATATCAAATATTACTTTCCTTGATTATTTATATATCAATTTAAATACAAGATCTGTGAAAAATAAATAAAACATCTTTAATAAGTACATGTATATACTGGGTACCGTATGTGAAATTATTCTTATATTAATGATTTGCTGTTTGTGCACATACAAGTGTAAAAATGGGTGTTACATAGTGGGTTTTAGTTAAACTGACATAATTATACAGAGGCACGTTATACAGGTAGATAAATACATTGTATTTTTGTTTATTATGAACACTTAGTGAGTAAAACATATTAAGTAATAACAAACCCCTAATAGGCATCATAAAATTTCCTGAAAAAATAATCATCAAACTATCATGATTTACTGCGAGGCGATTCTTATAAAAAGGCATATAAATCTTGAGATATTACAAACTATCATATTTTTGCTTTTATAAAACCGTTTACAAAGGGCATTCATCAGGGATAAGAAAAGGAATAAGTTATCAAATTGACAGAATGTCCAATAACGCCCAGTAAAAAAGATGAATTATTACCTTGCCAAAATACTGGCTGTATTTCACTCTCGCCAATGGGGCACCTGCTTTTGCAAAATCCGACATTTTTCACACATCCCTTCCCCTCCCTGAATGCCATTCCCGAGGGACAACACTGGGGGACAGAATATCCGTCACGACACTCCCAGAAAGCCTTGCAATTTCCTTCGTGGGGGTATTGACGTTTCTCGGCACTTTTGCGGCATTTATCTTTAAATTTGCAATATATACTTAATTATGACTATTGTTTCAATATTACGTTCCGTGTCTTATTAAATGTTCTAATATAGTCGTATTCAAAGTTTTATTTTAGCTTTAAAGAAATAAACATCAATTTATTTCATTCTTCATAACTCACCATAAGGGCAAAGCACATCTTTAGGCAGCCGACAAGTTAAAGCAGTTTGACTCCAGAACAAACCATAGGCACACTCTTGTTCTATTGGAACAAGATTCCCGCCCTCTCCCGGGTAGCAGACGACAAAGCGATCACAGCGACTGGGATGGTTAGCGTATCCTAACCCCCCATCTAGTGTACAGCCTCTACATATCTCTGAAATGGGAATATCAATAATTCATAACTGCATGCCTGGATCTAAAGGGGGGGGGGCAGGACCCCCCCCCCCCAGGAATTTGCAGAGTTTTTAAAAGTATTTTACTATACTCTAAATTAAGATAACTTTTGAGTTTTTCTTGTGGAAAAACGTGAAACGATTTCTTTATGGTCATCTTTAATGATTAATCAATCAGGATTGTCCCACTAGCCCGGTATTTATTGCTTGTAAATGGCACGCTGTATTCTAGTTTTATGAATGCACCTGGAAAAACCTTCATGCGCCCTACTGCCGTATAAATCAAATAAATAAAGTAAACATAAACCCAAATACATCTTTAAGACCTACATGTACATGTAGAGCCCTCACTAGTTTTTAATTGGAAATGTATAATTTTTACAATTTCCTACCAGAACGTCATTTTCTTTCAAAATTTCAATGAGTAGATCGAATTTATTTGCATTGCCAATTTGTTAAACTGTCTACTAATATATGATGAAATTTGCAAAGACTTTAATTAAAAATGAAATACAAAAGAAATAAACCTCCATTTATATAAATTGTAAATGGATATTTTTACATTTACTTAATAAATATGGAAATATTGATAAAATGATAAATATTGGCTAAAATCTAAAAGAATTACCTTTGGTAAGATTCATTTTTAGCGGTTTCCGTTGCTTTAGGTCTAAAATACTATCAAACTTCAGAACTGGGACTGGGGGAAGAGAAATTACAGGTTCATTCTTTTTGATCACCCTAGCTCTACTCTTCGGCACAATTGGAGGCATTTGCTTTGTGTTGAGGAATGCTTTAGCTTTCTTGGATTTGGAAGTCATGACTTTGGTATTGCTTTTCGTGGTGGGAGAGGAATTAGATTCAGATGCTAGTGTTTCCTTTTTCTTCTGAATAGGTTCCCCAGATACACCAATTCTGTCAAAAATCAAACCTACTTTGTTTGTCTCCGGAATGTTCATTGTATTGTTGCTTGTTACAGGGTTAGTTCTCTTTATGTAACGAACGAAAACTGGGTTTTTCAGGAGTTTTATTAAATCTAAAGGAATTTTGGGTGTACTGTTGTGCTTCCTCGTTTTTAAATCCTTTAAGTACAAGATTATGTTGTTCCTACTCTTTGAATCAATAATATTTGGTGGAATTACTAACTCATTTTCATTTGGTTTCAAAGGGCCCTTTCTGCGAAGTACAGTTACAATCTTTTTAACAATGGCATCATTGTCCAAGAGCTTAAGTACTCCACTCCCCTCTCTTTTGTTTTCTTTAGACACCACTGCGACCTTTTTCTTTTCCTTCACAGTCCTCGGTTTATTATTTTGAAGCAGATCAACAACGCTGCCTACTTCATAATCGAATTTCTTTACAGTAAACCCGACTGGGAGATTGGTAGTTGGATCCAAGAACGCACTAAATTCATTACCATTAAATATATCTAATCCACTATCTGTCTGTCGATTAACAGGTTCCCCTATATTTCCACTGATGGCCCCTGGGAATATAGGTATCGGATAAACCTTAGCATTGGTCTTAACAATACCAATTACATTGTTCCCATGCGGGCTAGAACCAGTTTTTATAAAACTGGGAGGTATTTTGAAAAATGTTCTGAACTTAAAGGGACCACGGTTAGTTTGAATTCTAGGGTTGAATGGCATCTGAAGTTTGGTCTCTTGAACCGACACTTTTAAATCGTTGCCTGAAACTGGTGTTCTTCCAAATCCAAATGGACTCTGTACTCTTTTTGGTAGGTCTGAACCAACAAGCCCTATTGGGTTTTCTAGTCTTTTTATGTCCAATCCAATATGTCCAATGGTATTTTCTATTGTTTTTGGTGTACCTGAACCAATATTCCCAAATGATATTTCTGGGCTTTTTGATGTCCTTGATCCGATATGTCCTATAGAAGTGTGGACTTGTGAGGTACTTGGACGAATGACGCCAATTGATTCCACATTTGCACCAACTCTATCCACCACATTACTCAGTGTTTTTGATGTATCTGAACTGGAAAGTTTAACTGGGTTTACAAGAATTGTTGATGTGCTCAGTCCAACTTTTCCTTCTGATGTATTAAGTTGCTTTTGATTCAACTTGGCTACAGCCATTTCTTGAGGAATTAGCTTTCTAACGGACATTTCTTTAAGATTTAAGGTAACTTTTTGTTGCTGATCGAGTGGAGGATCATTTGGAATAATGATATTTGGCAATTCAGGATCGAGAAATCTTTGATTGTTTTTAACTGTAGGTGAACCGTTTATTGATTTAGTTACGTTGAAGACAAAGCCACCAGATGGAATGGCAACTGAATTTTCTGGATATTGAACCATACCATTCCTATGAAATTGTAAGGATCCATTTAATGTATTGGTTATACCTTCAGACGAGGCTCTAGTTGATGGAAAGATAACTGGGCCTTTTCGGAGTCCTGCAAACTGTAAAAGTGGATTCTGACTGTTTGCTGCTTTTCTTAAAGATAACGGACCAGGAATGTCTGGCAGTGGACGGTCAAGATTGTTAGTTTTCAGATCAAACTTGGAATCTAATGGAATGGTTGAAAGTACATTGTGGAGATCCACATTGCTGCTTTTACCTGTTTTATGGAAATTACTTTTCAACTTGGAAAATGATAATTGATTTTCCAGAAAAGGTTGACCATTAGTTATCATTCTAAATAAATCCAGATCTGGAATCCAGTTTGGGTGGAAGGTTTTTTTTATGTTACTTTTTTTGTGTAGAAAATCTCTGTTTGAAATGACTCGAACATTCTGGAGCTGAAGATTTATTTTCCCCTGGTCAAGACGGGGAATGCTAGAAGAATTTAAAGTTATAGATTTGGGATTCTGCAAATTGATATGTCCAATCTTATTTGGAAGTATAAATCCTTTTTCTACTGTTTGAAGACGGTTTTGATTATGAATCTTTCCAAAAGAATGGAATTTTTCGTTTACTATATTTTGAGCGTTACTTTGAATGGTGCCATGACCACTTCCAAGGAAATGTAATTGAGGGGCTGGATCTTGTCCTTCTAATGGAAACACACTGTGCAACTGGTCAGCTGCCATATTATTTTCAAATATTATATCATCGAAGCGATGGGAACGTGTATTTAGGAAAGAAGAAAGTTCTTGAATAGTGTTTGTGTCTCGTTTGAGTGGAATAGGTTCAAGTGTAATTCCACGTTGCCTGGCCAAACGAATGTGAGAAAGTAATGAGGGGTGGCGACGAAGTATAGCAGGGTTGTAGACGAAACGCCCAGAAGACTGGACAAAAATAGAAAAAGGCACAAGAAATCCTTTATTGTTTGGCAGTGGAATAGCTCTATCTATTCCAGGGGGTAGCACTAGATGATATTCATATATAACAGGCATTCTAACGACAATTCCGTTTTGAAAATCGTAGTTAAGGTAATATATCGGTATATTTCCAGCACTTTGAGAGTTTTTGGAATTTGAGATCAAAAGCTGCGTTGAATCGTTAGAGGAGCCCCGGTTTGCTTTCTTGGGTTTCATCACATTTGCTTCTGAGTGTGATTTCTTGAAATTAGATTGCATTTTGCTCTTTGTAGATACGGCAAGATTTTTTACTACATTTGTTTTCAAAGGGATCTCTGCGCTCTTATGTGGTAATGTCAATTTGGTAATTTTTGTGTTCTGGATAACTTTCTTATGGTTGTTCTTGACATTTTTAGATGAGGAAGATGTAGGTGATGCGTTGCCTTGTTTCTGTAGATTGTGTAGATTTCTTATTTTTGAAATTGAATTTGAAAGGTTCCGCCTCTGTGCTAAAGAAATGTACTTCTTTGTTGTCTTACTAGAATAGCCTCGTTTTGAAGTCGGTATAATAACTCTTTTGGCAGGTTCAATATTTTTCTGAGAAAATGGTAACATTTTCCTGTGTATTCGATTTCTACTCTTAAAATTTGTAAGCTGGTTAGCTTTTTTCCTGAATGTATTTTTAGCTGAAGTCACTTTCACTTTGTTTGAAATTGCTTCTGCTGGCCTTACTGAATACTGAAGTTGTCTTCTTGGACTGCTGCGAGATAGATTATATCCATAGTTATATTTCTTTTTCTTCTGACCATAGCCATACTTTTTATATCGGTGATATCCTGGAAGGAAAGTTATAGCTAAATAAATATATATCAGTTCACAAGTACATGTTAATATAATTATATACAAGAATAAATTTGTAACATAACGGGCCTTTTCTTTCATGACTCGAATTTAGTTTAACCTAACATGCTTTTTTCTTACACACAAAAATTAGAACGTTGTTCAGTTGATAGAACATAATGACTTGGGTGGTAATTCGGTCTCCTTGCCAAGAATGAGTAGAAACTTTGGTTGTTTTAATGCATCTTCGCTTACCAAGGGTTTCTGATCCGCTACTCTTTTCACAAAACAGTAGCGGATCAGAAACCCTTGGCTAGCGAAGATTGTTTACATGCAACTCGCCCCTCCATGTCAAAATTCAGGAAGCATCCTCATGTAATTTAGTGCAACAAGGTGGTCAGATTTGTAAATCTTGACAAGGCAGTGACATTGTAACCGTTAATAAAAATTATCCAAACCTATCTATTTTGAGAATTATAATACAATATCTAATTTAAATGTTTAAAATCATGGATCAAGGAATTTACTGACTACTGAGTATCAAGGACATTTAGTGAAGGCCGTTAAAAAAAATTCTACATATATTTACGTGCATACCACATAATAGTAACGTGTACATTAAATACAGTTACGTGTACAATACATAATAGTAACATGTACACTACATATAGTTACGTTTACACTACATATAGTAACGTAAACACAACATACATGTATTACCGTGCATGTGCACTACATACATGTATAGTAAAATGTACACTACATATAGTTACGTGTACACTACATAAAGTAACGTAAAGACAACATATTACCGTGCATGTACACTACATATAGTTACACATACACTACATATAGTTACGTGTACCTTTGTTCCTGTAGGACTTGCCGTAAGATAAATGTTTTTTAAACTTTTCATTCTTTAGTTGTAGTGCTGAAAAAATATGTAAATTCTAATAACTGTTTTTGTTGATGCATTACATTCAAATTAATCGGCGTTCTGTAAGCAATGACCACTCTCGTCCCACATTTCCTTTTGGCTAAAAAGTTTCATATTGAAGGAAACTGCAAGAAAAGGCTAAACGACTGCATGTACATGTATATTTTATTATTAATCTTGATTTTAAAACAATCAATGAAATAAACATAATTTACAAACAAACTAACAAAAAAGATAATAAGTTATGTTTCACATTTCACACAATACATGTATATGGTAGTAACTGCTGTAAAATCCATACTATAGATAAATATAATTATTTAATCATTAAAAAACCATAGTAAATCATTGAGTGATGGAACTTATCGTGAGATATCTATACATTTCCCCCAGACATTTCCATATATATTTCCCTTCCCTTTAACACAATCCAGGTAACAATGTAACGTCTTTATTACATTTGTATGACAATAAAGTAAATGTTGACACGAAAATTCATGCAATGGTATGTTTCGCTTTTACTGAGAACTTGCTGTAAATTTACACTGTATGATCATTTTTGACAAGAATGAGGAAGGGTTTAGGATTTATATATGACATTTTATTTCATTTATTGACCAATGATGCAGCATTACCGGGATTTTTGTCTATTAAACATGTCGATTTTTTGTTCTATGACGTTCATGATATCTGAGTAATCCGAATGTGACGCCATTATTTGTCGTGAATGGAACCAAAAAGAAAAAATAAATAGATTTAAAAAAAAATAAAAAATATAATTGTGTCTTTAAATCTATATATCATATTTATTCAGTAAAAGATAAAATTTTAAGCCTTGTGATACCACAGGCTCCTGACGAATGGATGGTGTAATCCCCCCCCCCCCCCCCAAACACACACACACGCTTCTGAAAGTTTTTATTAGACACGATTAGTGAATACTTATAAAAATACATAAATTTCTAGCCTATCATACCTATTTTGATATCTGATATCATTAACCGTTTTTGCTAAGTTGTAGAGATTTGTCATCTACGATATATAAAGCACCAACAAAATCATATTAACAGGGGTCCCTGCTTCAAGATTTTCAACGTAAATTATACAGCATTACCAATGGAATTGATAAAAGTGGCAGATCAGGGAGATGATGTTTTACAAGCCTCTTTTGTCTATTTCCGTTTTTCTAGATTTCTGCTTTTTAGTTCTTTTTTTTTTTTTGTTTTTTTTTTTTTTGTTTTTTTTGCTACAGAAAGGGGGTATAAGGTCTTTTAATACCTTAAAAAAATGTAGCATTCATGAATAAAAGATTCTATTTTTTTTTAAATTGACTTTCAGTTCAGTTTTTTAACTTTGATGCATTGGCCTCTCAATTTATGAATACATGAAAAATATTCTCATGACTTCATAAATCAGTGCTAAAAAGTACAATTTTTTGACTCGGTAATTTACAGAAACGGAAAATTTCACGTTTAAATTCTTTCTTCTTTTTTTCATTTTTTTTTCATAAAAAACCATGGATATGTAAGTGTACGATACAAATGCACAGAGTATATAAGCAGGAAGCAGTTAATTTTCTTACCATATCCTGAAGGTACACAATTACATATCCGATCATAGTTCACAAAAACATGACTAAATGGACAGCATTTGAATCTGTGAGGAAATGGACCCAAAGTATCCCTATAACAGTTCGGACGATTTGGGATAGGCACTTTAGTACAAATTATATTCGATAAAACGGCACCAATGTGTAATATCTGCACTGCCATGGCTTAATCGAAAATAATCCGTGCTTAAACAAAGTTCCATCATTTATTTGAATTAAATTTCGAATGTTGAAATCCTAATCGATATAGATTGATACATCGGAAGATCACCGTCATCACTGAGGTGGGTCCCATGCTGGAAAAGGGCTCCATGTCAGTATGTAATTGATGTGCCTTATGGGAGAGTTTCGATCGTTCCACAGTTAGAAAAAGGTAATTTGTCTTGGCTACGCTTCATTAATTAATCCTACAAAAATCCACAAAAATGTCAGGCGAGGTGTCTGTTAGCGTGCAGCGGAACTGGACAGTATTGTCAAACGTACACCCTTTCCCTCGCTCTCTCTGTCGTCTGACAGCGAAGTGTCGTAAAACAGACGACACCGAAGAAAAATGTAGTGGTACGGGAAGAGCTTTTTCCATTCAGCAGAAATCCGGAACACGAAATGAACTGAATTTACCCAATAAACTAAAGTATCTCTGCATATTACTTTTTAGTATCTTAAACAATAAAAAAAAACTAAGATGAAGAGTTACACTTTATGTATTATTAACCATTATCTGAAGGTCAAGGCAAGATGTTTACTAATCGGTCATTTTATACTGATGACCAGTAATAAAAGCCTAGATGTTTCCTCGTTAATGACCAGAACTAGGTGACTTTGGTCATTCTTCATCATGTCGACACTATATACGGAAAAGATGAGATAATGTTCTTTCAATACATGTTTTCTACTCTTTTTGTACAGTCCTGAACATGCATCCTTAATAGAATTGCTTAAAGAAAATTAACGATAGAAGTGCAGTCCATTGTATATGCGTGAAGGAAATTTATTACATGTACTTTACAATTTAATAAATATCAGCCCCGTAGGAGGCAATTTGAGGGGGGGGGGCACAACAAAATATTTACAGTTGGAGAGGGGGCGGGCACTATCAAACAAAAATTCCTTGGCAAGCAAAAAATAGAGAGCAAAAAAGACACCAAACGTTATTTTTGACGTTACTAGGGGGCACAAACATAAAACAGCTATGTTTTCTATAGTATACTATACATCGGCAATATTATCCCCCCCCCCCCCCATGGTCCTACAGCCTTGAATATATCTATTTTTCAAAACATTAGGAAAATTTCTTTTGATTTTTTTTTTTTCAAATCTGATTTTTGAAATGAATATTTTTTTTATTGATCAGAAAGATTTTAAGTCTCTCTGTGAACGGAAATCTAGCTTTATTGTGGTCAAAAGAAGATGCCGAATTTTATGCTCCATATTTTTTGTTAATTTATCTAAACTCCATGTGGAGTCTTATGATTAATATGTAAGTAAACATCTATAAATATACGAATGTGCAATTTTTTGGTCATATCAATTTACAACTCCTATTATCTTGTAATTAATTTATGTGACCCAAAAAATACAAATTTGATTTAATGACCACCCCATCCATCACCCAAGGTAATCAATTACAGTAATATTCGTACGCTATTGCCGTTTTTTGGGACATGTTGTCAATTTTGTCCAGTGTAAACGTGTCGTTAAACTATATACATGTAGATGGTTTTCGCATGATGACAAAAAATTTATCAGGGATTTCTTATTTTAGATCTTTGCTAGTGCCATCATCATAATAAGTGTCAAAGAAAAGAACACAAAAGAAAATTTCTCATTCAAATCTTGGTTTTCTCTCCTCCTCCCCCCTAAAATGTGCAAAGTCCGAATCTTCTCTTCGCCCAG